ATTATTGTGGTTAGGTTGGAATGCTTCAGGGGGAGAAGCGAAGGGGGTGATGGATTGGTGAAGATACGAAATAATGATTGGGTGGCGTGCTATGGGTATGGATATGGATGGATGGATGGATGGTAGTTGCATACCAATGAAAGCTCGACTGCTTGTCATATCTGGTTTATTTTATAGTGGCGGCTGGTTGGCGCCTGGGCGTTGGCGGCATTTGCACCGCGCTAGGGGAGGCTAGTTTCATTAATAAATTGGTTTATATCTGTGCTTGTTCTCGTTATTTTGATGAGGTGCTATGATGTGATTCGATGGATTATGATGAGGTAGGATGGAATGGAGAGTTGGGTGTTTCCGAAACTGTCCTCCTGTTACACATGTATAATATTCAGCGTTTTCATTAATAATTTGGGAGTCGAATATAAGCACGCTGTGTGCGTGAGCTAGAGAGCATAAAATTAGTTCTTGCAAGTTCAGGTTTAGTGGTGAGATCAGAAACAGGGGAGTGACTAAAGTTCATCCTTGAGTTGTGCAGTGGATGGGTATGTTGAATTACATTTTCGAAGAGCAGAAAGATATACAGACCATTGAATTCGTATTGTGAATAAATCAACTGGGTGGTGAGGTTATTGGCAGAGCGGGATGGGAAGAACGGCGGTTCCAATGATTTATGTACTGGGAATGATGATAAGGTCAGAGGTGGAATGGTGTGCGATGACGTGAGATATTATTGCCAGTCATTAAATGTAGTATTCATGGTTCCATTCTCCCATTTTACCAATATGAGTGTGATTGATATCAAGATTATACCATATGATCTGTATCTTCCTCTTGGAATCCCAACCTCATCTCACCTTAACACAGAAGCTACAATATATGACAAATTCAGAGGTTGGAATTTACAGGCCTTTTTTATTACCACCTCTCTTAGTTCTGCGATAGTACCATTTTCTTTATGGTTCGAGGTCGCTGTAAATGGGGTGATAAGAATGGAGAGTTGAGAGTGAGGTAGTTGAAACTATACGTGCTGTAATTAGTGTTCTCCGGATTCGGTAGTATGGGAAGCATGAAAGTGTAGATGATCCAAAAATTTGAGATCCTGAAGGGAGATGCGGAAGTATATCTTGTCTAAAAGTTAGCAGTGTATAGGACTCGATTCGCATGACATAAAACTACACTAGTCTTCTATGATGTTGGAAATTTGGGACGTAGATGTCGGTTGATGAAGGGGTTACTTTAGAAAGTTATGGATGTTTTTATGGATAACTAGAAGGATCAAAGTGTTTGTAAGTCCAGCATAATATTTTAGTTCACACTTTCGTCATTGTTTTTGATCATTATGATTCAAGTTCTCGGCCCCTCTTTCACAATCCAAATACCAGAATTTGCAAGTCTTCATCTCCAAGGGATACACGTTATACCGCCGGAATATCGCGCGTAGATCTGCATCTCAATCAGTGACACCGGATGAATGATTGCCACTTCTTTAAATTCTTGATTTCTTGAGTGTAGTCTAGTACGAATAAAAAAGGTTTATAGATTTCTCGTGCTGAAGAAAATTAGGGATGTGAAGCTGAACTATGGGATACATGAAAGTTTCTGTGATAATTTACTTAGTGATACCGCGAGAGATCGAATTACTTTAGGAAATAACGTTCGAAAAGGTCGTGGGGTGTATATCAAGGGATTTACGGGCCGATGCGCATCCGAATGCGGTGAGAGTAGAGGTTCTGGTCCCTGAACTAACTAACTATTAGCATGGAACAGGACTAGAAGTCGGATCCAGGAATATACGGGAACTAGAGGTAGACTGGAATTACTAAGAAGACTAGGGAATTCTCAAAAGCGGTGTACATATGGTGGGGTGGGCAAAGCTAAGAAGACAGCTGAGGAATATAAAGGGGTTGCAATAGCCGAGTGACGGGTTGGGGGAAAATATTGGGATTGGGACTGGGAGCATATTCATTTGATGAAATTTTTTATGTTTGATACTGGCTATTTTATATGATCTAAGAGTGAGCTTCAAATTTTATCCTACCAATTGGATTCCAAGAATTGTTCGGCGGAGTTGCTGCCAGGGTCGGTAGTCGTGACCGCAAAATGTGTTATACCTTACTTGATTCTCCGGTGATTTGTGTGAATCTACTTAAGCATAACCAATTTACTGATGAGTTCCAGGCAAAATATTTGTGCAGCATAAGCCGTATCAAAGATCCAAGAGGACGCGAATAGGATGCATTGGGTTTAGGTTTCCTATTTAACCGCAAAGTTACGATTTCTTGTAGGACGTGGTAGTTATTAGAACCCATGGTACACGAGTTTAGAAACACACATAGGATCGTATTTTGCATATGAATTGATGCTTGTTGGGCGTCCACAACATTGTTTGAATTGCCCCGGAGACAAGGGGTAAGTAGTGCGCGCAAACTCGTAAGCTAGAGACAGCTTGTAACAGAAGATTACGTTCCTCCCACCGCTTATACTTAAAGGAGTTCGGTCAGCTCAGGGAGTCTATAGTTTTAGGTCGATTCTAGTCAATATTCGGCTGCGATTAGGCAATATTGATGGGCGAGATAATTGAAAAGAGATTATCTCGAGACGTTGTGTAGGAGTTAACTTCGCAGCTGTCGATTTGGGTCACGAGGTAATGGTATTGTCGTTTTCTTGAGATACTATTCTTGCATTCTCTAGGAATTCTGCAAGGGTAATGATGTGAAATTCAAGGCTTTGAGCTTTGAATGATATGAAACGTAGGCTCCTACTTATATATCGGAGATTGATATTGCCAGACTTCGAATTGGCTTTGGTTGATGGATCCCGGATATATAGGATTCTAGAATTCCCAAGTAAGCGAATTCTATTCTCTTACAACATTTGGTACCACGAATCTTCAATTCAGGTCAATTTCAAATAGATCGATTCACTTTTCTATGTATATGGCCAAAAAATATTGAGGCTTCCTTCGAATCTATAGCGTGGGCGATAAGTGAGATTAATCTCTCATAACAATTCATCATGGGCACACGGTGAAATTTCCTTGGATAAATTCATTCTCATAGTTGAGACAAAGAAACTTGTCGACAGATACAAAACAATCTTGGAGATCTGATTGAACAATAGCATTGATATTTTAATCTGCAGCAGAATGACTACTCGTAAATTCTATAAAAGCCAGCTCTCCGACAACTCTTAAGAAATATTCTTATCATTCATACATTCATCTACTCATCATAACACACCACAGCCAATCCACTAACTTCCCCCACAAAATCTTCAACATGTCGCAACTTAGCGTTCCCAAAGACAACATCTTCAGAACCAAGACTAGGAACAAGACCAAGAAGGTCAGGAAGAACAAGATCCAGATCCAGATCCAAATCACACAGCTTCCCGAGACCCCATACTTAGAGATTTCACCTCAAACGGATGAACCCCAGTCCTTCGACCCATTCGCGGAATCAGAAGAGGTCGATCCCAAACAAGCCACGCAAGTTCACGTTCGTGCTCAACAAACTCAAGTACGAGCTAAGATCGGTAGAGATGGAAAGAGAAAGCCACATTGGGTCACCACCGTCGAAGGACTTCCTGAGAAGTTCGAGAAGAAAAAGATCGTCCGACACTTCAAGGAGGCCCTCGCGTGCGCGGGCAATATTGTTGAAGACGAGACTTGGGGTGAAGTGATCCAATTACAGGGAGATTGTAGGGAGGTCGTCTTTAAGTTTCTAACTGGAAACCCAGGGTTGGAGTTGAGTGAGAGTGTTGTTATGATTCATGGATAGATTCAGAAGATTATTTTCTCGCTGGTCGAGAAATAATAGGTGAGAGGTAGTCCTTTCATTTTTAATCGTTGATCTAAGTACAATAAATCGAAACATTTTCTTTGTTGTTTGTTGAATATGAATGAATCAAATACCCTTTCGAGTGAGAGGGAAATGTAAGAGGTTTTTGTCCATCAAAAAACAAGTTTCCTATGTGAATGTGATACTATGATTACAACAAAATCTGTGCCTCTTCTTTCCTTGAGCTGCTGACCTGACTGCGAGATACGAGCTCTGTGAACTACGTGATGCTAATGTCTTTGTTTGGCAGATTGTTCAATCTTTATCCTTCTAGTTCCTTTGCGTATGAGCGGATTGACCTCGAGAAACCTTTGTGTACTAATGAGCATAGTCACTCAGTATTTGTATTCCGTTCGCAAAATATGATTGAAGAGTCCACGAGACAAGGAAATCTACGGGTGAGTGGTAGTCGCTAATGGTCAACTTCCCTCTAGTTCAGTGAATTCCCCATACCACCCACAATATACTGCATTGTAGTTTCTTTAATCGAAGTCATGGTGGTCGGGAAAGAAAAGAGACATGTTTTTCAAAAGAGAGGAAGTCATGGAAAGAGAGAGCACTCAACACAAAAACAGAACTACGATATATGGTAATCTTGAGCTGTCACCTTCACCTTCTTTCCTCTACCAAGAGAAAATTTCTATGGACTCAGTACCAATAAACGTTTGTTCATATGCTTAACCTTTGTAACTGAACTAATTAGCTGCTCAAGCTTCCAATTAGTGCTGAATAAATGAAAGAGATAAATATATGAAACTCACAAGAGTCCTCACAATCCTATTGTATGGCATCAATAGAGGAAATGAAAATTACAGGCATTGTTGGAGTTCCATGTCCCTTCACATGGCTGTTATTGCTCGGCTTAGTTGGTGTTTACCATCAGGCAATTTTCACTAGCTTCATAGAAGTCATTGTCATCAAAGCTATCTCTCTTGAATGTTGCTACCGCTAACTTCGCCACTTCCCATGATTTCTTTATTACCAAAACATAATTGATATGATTTTCTCAAGAATCTCATGAATCTCTCCAGGTGATTCAGAAATTTCGTAGAAGACTTTCAACTCTTTCAATCAAGAAGATTCAACCACATTACCTTGCCGCAAAATTGCTCTGTTCAATTTTATTGCAACACTCTCAGACTCTCACTTCATTCGAATTCAACAAACATGGCGCGAATTGCCGAAGTATTAAGGCAGATAGGTGCAGGTACACAATCCCTCGCTATCCATATGTCAGATCAACCAAAATCTGTCCTTGAGAAAATCCCAAGCTTAATCCCTCCACCGGGAACAGTATCAAATTTTCAGCACCGAGCATCCAGACGAGAAAGCGTCATAGTGGTTTCTACCTTATTAATGACTCCAGGATCCATCTGTATATGTATTCGGGCGTGGGCCAAATTTGTGACTGTTCGTCCAGTAAAATTACTTTGGAGTGATTGTAAGATTTGTCCTCTCTGTATGATACGGAATTAAAAAACCAATTGAAGCTCAGTGACTATTTCTCTAAGCTTTGTACGTAGTGTTTCTCGATTAGATTTTTGAACGCTAACTACATAGCTTTTGGCGATAGCTGCATATGTCACTACAATTTTAAGTGCGTCTTATTATAAATCTACATCTTCTTGACCTTGATAAAAAAAACTGATCTCAAAATAGCCGTTACCCCTGGAGGGATCACTGGTTACCACCAATATGACGTTCCCCTGTCCGCAATATTTACTAACCGCAGCATAATTGTATGTCTTTTAACTTCTTCTATTCTCATTTCACCGAAATAAAAATTTCTAGTTCATGCTTTTATCACAATGCTCACTCAAATGTAGCCATTGAGTCTAACTTATATCATCAACCCCACAACTCTGGGTCTCGTCAAACTCACTCTCTTCATTACTTATGTAGAAATATTCTTCACCGAGAGCTGGGTCAAAATAGCTTGTACAATCGGTGCTATCATATCTTCAGTCTTTTACACGATCCATCTAATTCTGGCATTGATCTGGGGGATCCCGCGTCATGGTGTACTGTGGAGACATCAAATATTGTCCGATTCTTTCTTCCGCATGCAAACGTTAAGTTTACCTCGGGCTATTGTGGCCTTCATAATTGATATATATTTAATTATAATGCCATTGATTGCTGTCACTAAGTTAAAACTAACGCCGAAAAAGAAAATTGGCGTGGGGTTGATATTCGCTACGGGATTCATGTAAGTTCAAAACCTATCCATGAGGGGGAAGGCGTACTGACAGATGATTGGTGCTACCATTGAATCGATTCTGAGTATCATTTATCGGTTAATAATTGACGATAACGATGATCTATTATGGAATCTTGCAGGTGTTGCACTTGTCAGGTAAGGAAATCCTAAGCACGTAAATTCATGCGTAACTAATGATTCCGAACTTTCAGTCTGCTTGAAATATTTCTCGGTATCTTCATAGCTTGCACAATAGATATCTCAAGATTCATCTGCATGTATAGAGGGAAATTCAAAGACATAAGCTGCTCGTTACTATCCTGTTCTGGCTGCAGAAACACAATAAAGACTAGAAAGATGCGAAAATTAACAAAGTCAAAAGATAATATTTCCGAAGATGGTTTTCAGAGAGATGGAAATAAACATGATGAGAAACCTATAAAGCTATATCCTGGGTTCGATATCTCGGAAACACTTCCCGCGTCTGCTTCTGATAATTCAGAGACGCCTAGATCGTTGAACGGGAACGAGATGCCACGACGAGTAGTTTTGGCGTCGGGGTTCTGGATACGAGGCTCATTTTGTAGTATATGATCTGCGAATTAGCTGAGTCTGTTCGATCAAGTATGATAACCTTTGGGTAACGTACATCTTTTTACTCAACATCTGCTGGTTCTGCTTCGACCTTCGGAACTCGCTTAGATATAACCTACAATTGTCCATTATACTTGGTGGGATTCTTTATGGCAGCTCTTCTTCTTTTGGAGAACTCTTAAACTACGCTTCCTAGCATAGAAATATCTTTGTTGTGTAATATAAGCATATAATGCAGGACTGCCACTGTCATTTAAGCAACCTACAGTCTTTTTGTCGTCAATTTTTTATTCTCGGATCTTATCATTGAATCAATTTACGAGTACAAAGTCAACTTCCAAACTCTAAAGAGTAGTTTCAGATACGTTTCAGGCTATATAAAAGTCACCAATTTGGTTGTTCGTCATCAGCGTCATCATCTGAGGAGAGAAATACAAATCCCTTACACCCTTTCCACATCCAACTTTCGTGGTTTAAATACACTAACTTTTGAGAAAATCGCAAAAAATCAAGCGAGTAGACTTGATCGTGCTATTTCCCTGTCTTGACCATTGCAATCACGCCCCTTCCTCTACCAGGCTAGATAAGAGTTCTTCGAAGTCTCGGTATTCCGATTAGATTTTGTATGTAAATACTACTCTTCAAGAGTGGGAAGGAAACCAAAGAAATGTGAATGACTGGAGTATCGACGTATGACATAGTCACATTATCTTGGAATTGGGCTCTCGATGATGCGGTACTCGTTTTACTTATTGGGGGTTTTGCCCACAGTATTGGTTCTGTGTTGTAGAGAGGAACCCAAATTCGTGCCCATTCAAAGAAGCATGTAATATCACCGCTGTCATTGTATTCTTAATACAAGATAGGCTGTTGTTGCTTCTATCATGTACTTCTTGTCATTTACCAAGTCAAGGGACGAGAAAATCTCCGCTTGGCCTCCCAAACATTATCTGCACTTCGGCTTATGAAACATATCTCATATTATTCAGTTCTTCTAGCCAGCAGTGACCCCATCACGATATTGCATCTCCTTTGTCTATCCTCCTCTTGCTATTCACATACAATTGTACGTATCCTCTCACCAGCAATTCTTGGAAGAAAAAGTTGATACGAAAACACAGTTTTGACTACACTTTATCTTTTCCTGTGCTGAAAACCAAAGAACTGAACAAGATATGTCATCTGTAACTCGTGAACTTTTGGGTATAAATACATCCATCAGGTCTGAATCCCAACATCCAAATACAAACTCCAACCTGGAAATCTGTCACAATGTGGATTCTAATAATCGATATTCTTGCATCATCTCTTGAATTCTCGATTCTCATTTCTTATTATAAAGTTTCTTCCCAAGTGTAGCCCGCTTGTATACTCAGACCAACTGTCAAGATTCCTATTGTCATTTCGATTTCCATGACAAGATTTAAGGTTTGCCGTTGCTAGCAATTCCTCTTCACCGAGTTAATATTACCTATTCTCGTTACTTATTACCAGAGTCTCTGAGTTCGTAACCTTCCTGTTTCGACGGATATCGTCTAGTGCTATACTTCAAGCTTCATGATGGTTACCGGGAAGATCGCTTTTTGGCTGTTCTTCCCTTACCACTCCCTCTTTTTCGCCTGTGTATGGTTTTACATACACCAGAAACATCTCCCCAGTTCCTCATTATCAACTCCATCCCAGAGAATCCCTCGCTGAGCAATGATGTCGAAAGAGTGAATATCCGAACCCGACTCCCGGAAATCTTGCACTAGCTCATCCATCACCAATTCCACCCTCAGATATAAAAGCATACCGATCCCCAGAAGATTCTTAAGTAAAAACCGCCCACGCGTATCAACACTGTCGTTTAGGATTTCCCATTCTGGAGCCCGCATACATGCTCTAAACTCTAATTCGGTATCAAATTCCATGGTTGGGTCAAGACTTCGACTTCGACTTCGACTTCGACTTCCGGGTTTTCACCGTCAATTCATCATTTAGGCAACACAAAAACAATGGCGGTAGTTACTTAACAAAAGTGACAGCGAGAAAAGAGATTGCTGTCATATTCTCAACTGGAATATATCTTTCGTCGCCACAGATAGATAATACGTACCTAGTACAGCTAATCGATTTCCGACTCTCATCCCAACATTGATCAACACCACAGGAGATCTTTCCATATCGTACATACCCACCCGTCGATGTAGATGTACCTCAACAAATCCATCTTATCGTCCCTAAAAGCATAGATATCTCTGCAACTACCTCCTTTCATTGCATCTTTATCCCCAAGTCACGTACCACTTATACAAACCCCGTCCCCAGCTCCCACCCATTTCTCCTCGTCGACCCCGCCATTTCAATGTTATTCACTTGTTCTTCTCACAACACTTTGTTTTTAGACATATTCCTGCACTCATTCTCCATCCCTCATCTATTCACCCTTCATCACACCACCTCTCATCTCACTCTCCCCCAGAATCTAATCCCATCCACCCATCAATCCATTCACCCATCCGCTTACCCACACCCCTTCAAATCAACCCTTTTCACCCTCTCCACCCCCTCCACACCTTCTTAATCCATCTCACCCCCATCTCCCCATCCTCCCCTCTCCCTACCCAACCCCCAATCTCCAACCCCCAATTTTCAATTTCCAATTTGCAAAACACAAAACACAAAACAGAAAGCATATACACAGCACACAATACAGCCTAGCCATCATATCCAGCATATCCAGCATATCCACCATGGCCGACATAGCTACTATAACCACCCATTCACCCAGCCAATCCATCTCAGTTTTCAAATCTCATTTTTCAGATCTCAGATTCCAGATTTCCAAATTCTACCTCCTACCTCCTACCTCCCAATCCCTAACCTCATACCTACACAGACAGCACCAAAGTAGATTCATTCACCCACTCATCCAACCATATCATAGGTACTTCACACTTACAACAATACCATAGCAGTACACCCCCCTTCCCAACTCCACAGCCCAACTAACAACGGCAAAGCGAAAAACAAGTAAAACCCCATTTCGATCACATCCAAATCCAAAATCAAACCATCAAACATTTTGTCCTCACGTGAACTGTATCAACAATCAACAGATTTTTCAATTCCATTGTATTTTCCCTTTCTCAAATAAAAAATGACGAAAACTCCCAGTGGACTATGTACATTTTGTACAGACTCTTGAACCCACCCCACCCCATTGTCATCCGCATATTCATCCATCAATCCGTCTATCCATCCATCTGCAATCTAAATCAAGCAGTCATGAAATTCTCCAACCTCTCCACCTCTCCAACCACACCATCTCAACCATCTACTTTCTGTACCACATCCTCGTAATCTTCGTATGTCTCATCTTCTTCTGCAATTGGAAGATTCCATACATAAGTGCCTCACTAGTTGGCGGACAACCTGGCACATAAATATCGACCGGAACAATACGATCACAACCTCTTGTAACACTATAACTGTAATGATAATACCCTCCACCATTCGCACAACTTCCCATACTAATCACCCATCTTGGATCTGGCATTTGATCATACACTTGACGAAGAGCAGGAGCCATCTTATTGGTCAAAGTACCAGCCACAATCATAACATCGGATTGACGAGGAGAAGCACGGAAAATGATACCAAGACGATCTTGATCGTAACGTGGGGTTGAGAGATGCATCATTTCGACGGCGCAGCAGGCGAGTCCGAAGGTCATGGGCCAGAGAGATCCTTGTCGTGCCCAATTGGCAATTTGATCAAGTGTGGTTCTGTTTGCGTAGTGTTAGCTTTTGTTCTCGTATTCCCTTTTTTGGTCGCCACTCCAGTGGAAAGGTCCCGAAACACAACAAAAGTCCCAAGTAAAGCGAACACTCCAAACAAACGTATCTCTAGCGTTTCCTCTGCCATTACTCCCAATCACATTACTTTCGAACAGCCCGCCCAACTCCCTCCATACACCCATCAGACAACCCCCAGATATAAAATCAAACTCACAAAGCATATTGCATAACACCCTTCTTGCCCTCTTGACTAGGAAGAAGCACTTCTCTTCTCTCCTTTCCTGTAACACTCAGTTTGAGATTTCCTCTATCCGCTGGATGTCTAGTTTCCATTGCCTGAACTTGTGCTTGGGCTGGTTTAGTTGCGCTGTTGGAGATTGCTGCTAGGGATCGATAAGGGAGGAGGGATGAGGCGGGCTTGGCTATTCATTGTGTTAGCATTGGGTATATAGTATAGTTGATGCGATGGATCAGTATAGAAATGCATGATTAGTTTCGCCATCAATATATTGGTAGCGAAGAGCCAGAGAAGGGTATAAGCAAAACAAACCTCTCAATACCATTGCCCCCGCAGATCGTGTAGTCTTGAACATTTTGCTCGTCTTGCCTGTCTCGTCCGTCTTCTTCTTTGGAGTCTTGTTAAATCTCCCTCCTTTCAATTAATTCAATTGAGAATAACACAAGGAAAGGAAAAATAGAGGGGAGAGGTCGGTGTCGGGAATCCCGTAGCGTTCTGAGGTTACCAGTAAGTCGTCGATGTCACTAAGGTTCAAATTATTGATCTCGGTTGATTAATTCAAAACTGGTGATTGGTCGAGATCACGTGGCTGATTTGTGCTATCCTTATGCTTGCCGCCACCACCAAATCATTGAGACGAGAGTTTCAAGATATTGTAGATCGACAAACGTGATTTTAGCATCCGGATTGTAAGAATTGGACATGGTAATTTAAATTCACAAAAACCATTCATACGAAAAAAACTTCAGTCAAGCTTCCAAATCAATGTTATCATCTTAAGATTTTGTCTATCCAAAAGTCCAAACCATTGCAATTCCACCATCATTTTCCATTAAACCCATTTCTTTTCCATTAACTCTAGCAACATAATGATAAAAATACAAAGTGAGTAGAATCAAACACAAAGACTAAGCGTCGGACCATATTTCTTCTGGCCGAACATACCTAGGTGGTAGGTATATAACAATCTCCTTTCGCGCTTCCTGGGCATCATACCTATGCAATTCAGACATTCGCTCCAACACACCAACAGCCATGCCACTCTGCTTGGAAAAGCTTACCCTAAGCTCCGAAAATGATATCACCACGACCTTTAGTATTTGCTCGGACTTCAATACCTGAATCTCTGCCCGACCATCCCACAAAACTTGCTGAATACCCTTACATAGGTATGTATATAGCACAACAACACAACAAGGTATGTACTACAAAATAAAAAATCGAACACACAAAACAAAATGAAAGACTTTTGAATTGAAGTCCTGTATACCCTGCGTCATGCCAAAGGCCAATCCACAATTATTGACCAGATTTCTTAGCATTTTCCGCCATAGCCGCATCAATTTGTGCATCGACTTGTTCTTCATCAACTTCATTTTCATCGGATTTGAAATTTTCCTTTTCGCTTCTACCACGTGGTGAAAGTCTCTCATCACTTTCCTCTTCACTGCTTTCACTTCCTTGTAAACTATCACGATTGGTTTGACGACTTCGAGTCATCTAGAAGATAAAGTTAGCTTAAGTAGATAGTGAGAATTGATTAACATACCCATGATCGTACACCACCAATAAGACCTAAACTATATCCTGTTGCAAAATCACTACCCGGACCTGGACTATCATTTCTTGGAATTTCCAGGCGGCGTGTAAGATGTTGTAGAGCAGATGGGCTTGTGAGGGATCCGGTACTATTTCCTTCGAAACTGTGCATGCGTGCAGGACTGCCGGGACGACTGGATTGCCAGAATTGTTTCAATTCCTTGCCCAATTCTTGACCAGTAGTACTCCAATTCGTTCGGATAGCTTCTCTCATCTCGGCAACATGACGTTTTAGATCGAGTTCATTCTTTTTGAGCCATGATACGTTAAGCTCCTGTCTTGTTGTACCCCGCTTGAATTGACGTGCAATATATTTCTCATAATCTCGAACAATCCTGCGTAAATGTTAGTAGTGATTTGGGAAACAGAGAATCAAAGACATACTTTGTGATGATACCAGTCGTGCTGACACCCTCAGTTCTCTGTGTAACCAAGAATTTTCCTTGTTCTTTGATTGGTTTGTAAATGTCGTCTCCCTCATCAGCTCCATATGGAAGATCGTCATGCGCAACGTAATCAATCCTTTTCTCTGCTAGAAACTCTGGAGTAACAATCCATGGGCAGTTCTCAACAACCTCGTCCACCCATTTGCAATGTCTTACAGTCTCGGCTCGCTCTTGCCCAGATAGAACTGTAAGTCCTTTTCTCTTGTGTGTTTCCGCATCTCCTGTAACTCCAACCAACAAATAAACGTCTGGGAATGCTTTTTTAGCTTGCTCAAGCTGTCGCATATGTCTGCCATGAATTAGTTACAACTTCCAAGTCCCGTAGTTTATAGAATACATACCCAAGATGAAATAAATCAAACACACCATCCGCATAAACACGAACTGGTCTGTCAGCCGGGGGTGGATTAGTTTTATATCCAACTGGATCTGTCAATTTTCCAATTGGTGGTGGGGCCATTGATTGTGTGGCTTCTTCTTTCTCTCCCTCTTGTTCTGGCACTTCTTCATCTCCTTTGGAGATGCTTTTTCTTCCTTTCTTTCCAACTCTGTTCGCAATGTCTGTGCTACCTTCAGTTGTGTCCGATGGTTCACCTGGATCTCGCGCATTGTCGGATCCATTAACTGCTACTTTCTCGTGTGTAGATGAGCGAAGACGTTTGGCGGGTGGGTTTTGAGAGTCCATGGAGATAGTCTTCTTGTGACTTGAGCTACGTGTTTCTCTGGTTTCTGGAGCTGTGGATTCTCCATCTTCACCAGATGCATCTCTTGATGAATTTTGTAATTGATCGAGTGTTGAGGATTTCTTGGATGATGAAGCAGTAGCAGTACGCTTTCTCTTTCCTACACTTCCGCCAGATGATGGAGAAGACATTTTGAGATTTTAAGTTTCAATCTGAAAAATAGAGTCGACTGACAGAGATGGGGATTGAGACAAGTCGATTATAAGCTTTCGCGTTTTTGTGTTTAAATTGTAGGTGGTGTACAGTGCTGTGCTGCGCTGCGCTGTAGGTAGTAGTTCTTTGACAATTGGAGGAGCTTCCGGAATTTAAATAATTTTGACCAGGGTTTAGTTAGAGGTGGTTGACCGTTGATGTAATCTTTCTTTTAGTATCAATGCAAAGAAAGCTTTGGAGATTTGAGAAGGTATGTATGTAAATAGATATCACGACGACGATGTAAATAAAAAAAGAGTTGTGCTTTCTTTCTCTGGAGAAGAAAAATCAAAAGTTTATGTAAATTTGATGAACATTGAACATAAACATAATACAAGTTCGTAATAATTGTTTTGAATGGAATTGTCTTGTTGTCCTCACATAAAGCTAGTTTTAAACTAATTTATTGCTAGGTAGGTAGGCAGGAGGCAGGTAGGGACTTATTCTGTCTCTTCTTCTCTTGAAAATTAATAAACCAGGTTTCTCATGAATGAGGCGTTACTTAAATTTCCAAATAAAGCCGGGAATTTCGACATCGTCATTCCAATTGCTATCGTCAAGATCAAGTAAGAGTACGCACGTGCGACGCTAAGAGAATGTGAGTGATCGATTGGTTGTGAGGGATTAGGTAATCGTATAAAATCAAATCCCTCGAGGATCTACCTGTGTCCTCGTCGGTCGATAATAACAAGAAACAAGAACAAAGAGACGGTGAACTTTCCTCCCTCTCAAGTCTCTCAAATCCTCTCCCATTTGCATCTCACCTGCCCAACCCACCAACATTATCAAACCATGACTTGAAAGCATTTTTTCACTCTGCAGTTCCGCCCGTTCGTGGGGTAACTAACTAGGAAGGAAAGCTCGGAAACTTCTATATCATTGCAGTGTTATCATTGACCGCATCTCTTAGTCTCAAGGGTAAAACATACTCTTTCTCCACTTCAAAGCTGTGACCTATGATCTATTGCCCCCATCTACTGCAGTGCAACGGGTCCAATCCAAGCACGAAGCAATGCCAACGATTCGATTCCATTCGATTAGACACTTCATCACTCTACTAGCTATCTATTCGCTACGTCTTTGGAGCCACCTTGCGGCGTAAAAGAGGGGACCATCTGCAACTTAACAAACCTGCGAACATGCAAACACATTCAATTTAGAAACATTAGATGAACTCGTAAACGCTTTGGTCAGGAGGATGTCAATTGATAATTTTCAAGGTACATTGAAACTCGGCCTTAGTCTAGAGACCCTTCCTATAAGAGATCTGTAATGTAAAATTGAAGAAGAGAAAGAAACGGACTCATGATCATGATAATATGACTCGCTGCGTATGAAGATCGTAAGTTCAGAAAATTTCATGTCGAAGGAGAAGCCACCACACCCTGGGCATCTCTATCATCTTTACTAGATATAAAGTTTTCATGACCTTTATACCTTCCCCACTCCATACTCCCTATTTCCTCCCAGCAGTGATGAAGATTTCCAGGAGACATTGCAATGCGTGGATTTATCTCACGTTATGCTTATAAAAATGCACACAATTCGCAACCCCTTCTATTCCAGATACGGTCGCAAAAATAGTCATTCATCAAGATGAATCTGGTTTGCATAATTTCTCGAGTCATTAACATCTTCACTTCAACATCCTCCCCTTCCTTCGTCTTTCACTTCATAAATCTTGAAAGATATACCAATTATACCCAAATTACTCCTACTTCTCTTCCGCCTTGCTCGATTTTGGTAAAACTTCGTCTACGACTGCCTGATACTTTGGCTCTTTCGGGTCAATCTTTTCGGGTAAGGCATCGGATTCGGGAACTTCGGATTGAGGCTGTCCCTTTGGGACCTGGCTGGCGAGGTCCTTGTCTTCCTCACTGTGATCGAACATTTCTGTATCATCGGAATCAGTGAGGACTTCTGTACCATCTCCAAGAAGAATGATCCGTCCACGTGGGTTCCCACCGAAAGACTTAAGCTTCTGGTCCATATCAACATCATATCCACTGTCACTATCATCAAAGTTATGATGAACACCAGGTCCACGGAATTCAGCTATTAAATGTGTTAGGAAATATGCTAGTATTGGATATCAGCGGAGTACTTGCCATACTCCGGAGGGGCACATGGACCATCTCCATTCGCAACACGCTTTGCAATTTCGTCGTACCACTCTTCCTTAGTCTTGCCGTTCAAGAGACCGATAACAATCATCGTCATGTTATCACAACCAACACCACCAGTTTCCGAATTGGATGCTAAACAGTTATCCATCATGTTCTCGCAGATTTTAGATAAATCTTGCTTGGCAACAATGCCTCGTCGAACAAACTCAATAACAGCCTGGGATGATTGGCAATCCCAGATACCTAAAGATCGAGTTAGCCTCGTTGTTCTCCACGACTCGTCGTAAGCTACTGACCATCACAAGCGACCACTAAAAACTCGTCATCGTCTGTAATATCGTGTACGGTAACATCGGGGAATGCAGTGACGATTTGCTGCTCAGGCGAAAGCTCTGCGCTCTTTTTGAATTCAAAGTCACCAATGGCTCTTGATAATGCAAGGTTGCCATTGACACGACCAAAATCGACAAAGCCTCCAGCCGCATTAATTCTGGCTTTTTCGCCTGCACAGGTATATATTAGTATTTTGTGCAGTCCATCGCCAATATCATAAGAAGCTACCTTCGTTTTGCGGCTTGTGGTCGAATGACAGAGGCTTGGCGCGACCCTTGACTCCTAAAACACTTCTTGAGTCTCCGGCGTTTCCCTTATGAACAGTAAGCATATTTCGGTATCTTTTGCCTCATGTAACATACCACATAGATCTTCTTGTGCGAAATTATGCCAACGGATGCGGTACAGCCAGAAACTTCCTCCTCGTATCTTGGATCTATAACTCAAATCAGTAACCCTGTATGGTAGAAGGAGAATGTTGTTCTAACCCATCAAGATTGCTCTGTCTGTTGCAAGGAAGCCATCCTTCAGAGCTTGTTCAATATCACCCTTTTGGAATGCTTCCTGTTTTGCGATGATCTGGTGTATATTTTCTCCTGCAAAAAGTGCTACCCGGTCTCCTCCATGTCCATCGTAAACACCGAAGAATGAGAGTCTGCTATCGATTGGAGCTGGCTTCAATTCCTGTCCTTTTGTATGTTGTAAATCGAGGATAGTCGCGTGCGCGTCCTCCATGCTGATTCTCCATCCCTGCATGGAAGAGACACCATAAAGTAATCTCTCATCGCCTCCGATAGCTGAATGCTAATAGAGAAAGCCATGTTAGTAACGATAAGCAGCGGTGGCAGAAAGACCTTGGTGGTGGAATTGCAGCTGAAAATCGAGTCTTCCCGGGATATTTTTGCAGGAAGGTTGTGCTCATTGAACAAATAACATAGAGTCTCTATATCACTGCGCGACGCAGAAGTATTTCAACACCAGCATGTAATACCAGGTATGCGGTATCTTGGCATGAAAGACCGGCGCCCACAATGACACAGTAAACAGATAAAGCGAACAAAGATAAACAAACATACCTTCTCCACGACGGGCTCCGAAAGAGTCTGACCCATCTTGAAGATAGATCTAAAACCTTTCTACAGAAATCCAACAAACAATTCAGATCCTTCTCTCAACAATATTTCGAGATCTTCGAGTGGTGTTCCTTGACAGAGATTGCAAAGAGGTATGGGTGGGATGCGGGGTCGTAATTTTCTTGGTAGGGAAGGCGGAAGAGGATATAGATAGAATGAATACCTTGGTATTATCTATAAGAAAGATAATTATCGAGATTGAAAATCTTATTTAATGGGAATGTAAAGATTTGGTAGAATTGTCTTTATTCTTTTGTAGATCGCGTGCAGTTTTTTGGAGGAGGGAAAGAGAAAGGTGATGTTACTAAAAATGACGCTTTCTTTGCCTTTTCCTGCCTTGCCTTGCCTCTTTGCCTTTGGCTTGCTGTGTTAACGAATACACTGGGCAGAAGAGCAAAGAACGCTAAGGGAAGCTCGCTTATTTACCCATAAAGAGTAATAAACCGTGATAGAGTGGGGGGGGGGGGAATAGGAAGGATCGATTCTTTTGGTAGGGTTGGGTAAGAAGGGAAGGCATAATTTAGGTGAGTGAATGTGAGTGAATGTGAGCTTGTTTTTCAGGGTGAATGGCTTGGTAAGAAGACCTCGGTGTGGGTAGGTAGGTACATGTAGGTATGTGGGTAGATAGCTAGCTAATTGGTTGTTTTCCAAAAAGGGTTTTAATTATAGGATCTAGTATATCTAGTGTCTAGTACATGGCTCAAAGGCTCGTAGGATATATCTTTCCAATCCGAGTTCATCTCTTTCTACGTCTTGTTCCATTCGAAGATGCTAACATCGTGAAAAGCTACCAGATTCTCACTCGGTTACATACAAGACACTACATGATAAAATCCCACATCTTCGAGCGCAGCGAGCTATGGGGGTCTGGGGGCTTGCCCCATCAATTGATTAGTAGTAAGTAGTAACGAACGTTTTTGGTAAGGTTCCAATGACAGTGACGGTGAGAATACTCCGACCAGTGGCAATTTAACTCATAATAGACGAGTGAGTGTCTTCAAGAACTCAAAGAGCGAGACCCTCGAAAGCTTGAACATCATGATTATACCTGTGGCTATTCGACACCAAGATTCGGATGTATATATGCATGTAAACTTGTATGGCATTTTGCATTTTTGATCTGGATGACGGCTATTACGACGTCCTTAGCCATTAGAACGAATGAATACTAACATTTTGTCATATGCATTCTACCAATTGATATCTATCAAAAGGTCACACTGTGAATACCTATGATAAGCTCTGAACTTACTCACCTACCTGGTAGCAATATTTGTAATTGGAATTCCCAACCTAGGTAAATTCTTCTATGTTTCGTTTGAGAGCAGTCTGGACCCGTTCACCGGGTGGACCCTTTTTGATGTTTAGCTTTCGGAGGAACTGAATAGACTACGCCGCGCTCAGATATACCTAGCACATTTTGGATAATTCAATCGCTATGATCAATTCCTTTCCTCTACCTAGCTACTTAAGTACTTACTTATAAGTTGAGCAGTGCAAGCATTCATCGTCATTCCGCACGGGCAGAATACAATCGTTATTGTTTTGTTTTGATCTTTCAACAAACAAATGTATTGATAAAGTGGCATTAATCGATTGATTGATACGAGTATATTTCGACAACAATTTGTTCTTTTGATTTTGGTGGGGGGTGGTGTCATCTGTCATAGCAATCCCTGTATCCAATTTTTTCCCTGAAAAGCAACAAAGCTGGGGAAACTTCGCTGGACTTCCGGTACATGCATGACAATCGTTTGACAAGTCATCTTCATCCGTTACCACCCACGCTGAGTGAGATTGTATCATCATTCATATTCTGCCCAGTTCTAGGTAGGGTTTGATGCTGTCAATGATGTTGGATCGAGTGGTTCTAAGGATCTTGATCAACTCAAGGCGGGTCATGATGTGGAACTCTATGAAGTTTTCTCGAAGCAACCGAAAGACTACATCGTGATACCTCCTGGTACGACCATAGGAAAATCATCTTTAGGAGGGGGAGTATGCGAACCGAAATTCAAAGGGACTTCCTGACGCTGAAACATGTATACTTGGAAGTCCAAAGTTTGTCTTGCCCGTCAAGAAGGTATTTCGATGCCTAGCAAGTCTACTTTTTGAGAACATCAAGGAATGTATCGATTCTCTTATTCCAGCCAAAATAAATCTGGCAGGTACAGGAAGACAAATCAAAAGTTTCTGGCGTGGGACCACCAAGTTGGCTTCAAGAGACAAAGAATAGAACTTTGGCGATGTCAAAATATGTCGCCAACACATTATTTGGCAGGCAAGGAAGATATTGACATCCATTTTTATGGACGTAGAAGTCATTACAGTCTATATATTACCGCATGTCATCAAAGAGTGAGGCGGACTATATTTTTTAAGGTGAGAGAATCATACCTTAAGGTTTCTATTTACTCAAGCGGGTTCTCCCATCAAGCAATTGCCTCTTGCATAGCTTTTAGATATGCCGGTATCGAATTGCGCGGGCCAGGCTGTAGGTATATGTTAATTTAGTGGGATCAGTCAGTCTTTTCTTGGGGATACGTGACTAAAAGTTAGCAGCACGGATATGGAGCAACTATCCCATCCTCATCAAGCACTTTCAGACATGTTCTTCATCACACATACTACTTCATCAAATTGCTAACCTTCTGATTATCTTTCGTCATCCTTTCCTTTTTTACTGTGTCTTTTTCTCGTCCATCAAGTTTGCCGGCTTCTAGTGTTTCCATTTCTATTTTCTTTGCGAATCTAGAAGTCAGTGGAACACCCACTAGGTTGCGTTAAACTCCTCATTCAAACAAAACATCAGTTCTAACAACATCTTCTGGGAGAAGCTGATATTCGAGAAGCTATCTTGTCTTAATTCTACTGGCATATTCGGCTTCGAGACGATCGAGGCACGTTTTGGAATCCTACGCCAAAGCCCGATACTTGCATGTATATATATAGCATCTCGTCTTCATGGTTCGTAGTCTTTACTAAACTCACCATCTTTGTCTTCCGTCACTAGTACTACGCACTTTTAACGACTGCGAATCAAATCTCACACCATTCACTCTAACAACTTATCCGGCTCTTCGTCTCTAATTTTCTGCAACCATCATTCCCCATTTTTCCAATAATCACAGAGTTAATCTTCCCACCCTCCACTTTTCACCAAGATGGTTGCTTTTCAACATGTATTGGCCTTTATCGGGGGCGCAACAATTCCACTTTCTGTAATGCTTTTTCGCGAATTCAATCCTCCACATACAGCTTACCAAGAATGCCTTGATCATCTTAAGGATTTAGATCAGCGAGCGAAGGAAACATGGCAACGTTCTGAGATTCCAGATGGGACCTGGATAAAATCGAAAACTCGTCTTACGCATAGCGCTTTGTGCAATATGCATCACGGACTCGAAAGTATGCCATGGGAAGTCGAAAGTCACAACTGGCATATTATGATGGATTCGGAGGCGAGCGTTATTGTGCGAGATTATTATGCTGGGTATGATGCTACCCCAGATGACCTGGATTGTTTGACTTGATCTGTACTGACAAATTTAAGGAATCCGCAAGAAAAACATGGGTCGTCGAAATGAGACAACTCATGCGGTATCAGAGTGCCAAACGGATTCGTCAATTGGTTGTAAGACAGGTCGTCTGCAGATACGCCGTATGGTCTCCCGTTGCTGGAAAATTCATAAGTTTGGGGATGTATTATGATCTTATACTTAGAGTTGTCAGGCCTAGAAATCCTTGGAGCAAGTCACGATGGAGCGAGGGTTGAATTGGATCATTTGATAGATAGGCGTTAATGAAATTGTATGGGACTTCATTTCGATGATTTAGTTTTGACTTGCAACGGGATTCAATGTGTATTTCGTGCGTTACAAACAGTCAATCATCATTCCCTAGGTACTTTCGTCTCTCACTTGCTCTATTTGTTTTCCATGTCTATTATCATCATCAATATCTTTTTGCGTGCAGTAAACCTGCAGAATTCAATGGTTCTGACCAGTTTCCTAACATAGAAAATATCTTTCTTTTCCGCAGAACCCAAAAGTTTCGAAGTTCCTCCTGCCACTTCAGCAAGTTCGGTCTGCTTCATTATATCCCGATATCTCTCAAGAAAAGAGATAACAGCAAATATCAACTACCAACTAGCTCTGAACATCTTAACCTCGCGTCGAACTTTCTAGGGTAATACGACAGAATATCCATCCCGAAAATTCTTCTCCCCTGTCTAAGACCAGCTTCTCACCCATCCTAATTCTCGAAGATTCAGAAAAGTACTAGATATAGCGATGAACTCGGTCATCAGATGTCCCAGATCTGATCCAAAAAAAACTCTCGAGTCATCCCAGTACGTTGGCTTGGAGTTTGAAGGGGAGGATCTGTGATATATGTATATGTATGTGGTTCCTTCAGTCTTCAGCTTTCGTTGTAAGTTTTTGTTTGTTTCCAGTCCTAGATTGCATATCAATAATCAACCTCAACCTCATTGCGATTGAGTATCAAACACTAAGACTACCCATCCTAACCACTACAAATCCAACCACCATACAGTAAAAACCCACACCGCATCACCTCACCCATCTGGTCATCCAACCCCATCCCCAAACAAAAGAATTGTTCCTATCCACCAATCTTAAGCTCATCCTCATCTGCATGATCATATTTTTTCTCCGCCTATGTTTTCCTTTCATTCAAACGCTTTCGAACAAATTCATCTATTTTTTTGTGGGGGAGATGGTTGCTGGTTTGTTATTGATTCGATGTGATTGGGGTTTATGTGTTATATCGGGATGAAGGATGGAAGGGGAAGAGAGATAGTTGGGGTGTGGATGATGAATAGGGAGGGGTTTGTGATTTATTTAGTGGACAGGGTTGAGATTTGGTGTCTAAATAGATCTATTATAAACCGAGGAATTTGTGTAAAGGAGTTTTTAGTTTCGTGGTTTGTATATGTACTTCGATGAGTGTGTTTTTATGAGGTTTAGAAATTACATTCTAGGGAACTCGTCACGAGAATCTTACTTTCCCTCTTTTTTCTTTCTTTCTTTTCGGTTGCTTATTCCAGCTCCTCTCAGAGTCTCACTTCCATTTCCATTTCTATCTCTATATTCTTCATTACAACCCCTCAGATGAAAATTATACAGTTTATACTATGATTCCAAAATACTAGTACAGCTTAACGCTGTACACCCCTCTCTTTATCCGGCATGATATGAAATTCAGAGAGATATGAGTAAATCATCATGAATACCCTTCGTACAATTGACAATTCTCCGCGGACGCGGACTACTGGCATACTGACTTTATTTTATTGAGGGTTATATTTCTATCTTCTGAACTTCTATCTTCAATCTCTAGCTCGTCAAGAGAAACTGGCACTTTGCTATGTCACTCCCCGCTTATATGTGTACTCGATATTCTCGATGCTCCTCAATCCTGTATTGAAGTTCTTCAAGTACGTTATGTATCTTCTGAAGGATGTTCAGCAGTATGGAAGGTTTTCAACATGGTGGATGGAATTTCGATGAGCTGCTGTGGAATGGGAAGATACCGGCGGTCCAGGAAAATACTTCGAGAGGAACGTTACATGAACGACTGAACTCCCAATATTTTCTTTGAATCGTTTTCTACGTTTTTCCTTCGATTGTCGCTGAATTAGCTATGGAAGGTTACAGATTTAACCTTTCTAAAGAGTATTGTAATTGAATCAAGTAAAAATCTTCAGTGATAAGTTTAAAGTTCTCAAACGTATGGTAACGTGATTCTGTGATTCTGTGCATCTTTTATTCTCCTTAGACTGGGAAGGTAATAAGGAGATATGGAGCAGTATTTTATCAGGGGAGAGGGAAGTTCTGGTATGGAGAGTGGTGAAAAGAGAGGAAGAAGGAGTAAGGGAATGAAAATGAGAGATGAGAGGTGACGAGATAGAGCACTTGGTGACACTGAAGGTTCAAAAATGAATTACCCCGTGAAACGAGAAAGCTGTTCAACTTTGAAACCTGTTATTCGTGAGAATGTCCATCTTTAAAGATAGAGATAGGTGTGAAGGTTCAAAAGCACGGGTTGCTACAGAGCCGCGACATGGAATGAAAAGTAAATAGTAAACGAGATATCGTATCACAGATGCTTACTCCCAACTTCATATATATAGATACAGCTAGTTGAAAAAAACATTATCGAATAATTCCTATTACAACAAAAGTGAATATATACATTCGTTCTAGAAGCTTGAGCAGGAGTGATCATAAACGTAGCGCTTATTTCGACCCTCTCCCCCCCAACTCCAGCATAAGAACTTAAACCTCAAGATACCCCCACTCCCTTCCACGAGGCTCAATAGTGGAGAAATCAAAAGCCCAGAAACGATCAATACCCTAACACCTTAGTTTTAGAGTTAAATCCAACATTAATCTTACCCCAGATACGTTTCACCAATATCAAGGATGTTGGATGATAATTCTGGAAGTGATGGATTGGATGAAGGTCTATTACGCAAAACTAAGCAATTTCCCGTTGGGGATCATATGGGCTAATTACAATGTGGATTAGAATGTGATGTATAGGAGTTGTATACGCCACGGCACGGCTATTAAGATACTTGGTTTTTTGGCGGCGGGAATTTATGGTTTGAGTAATACAATTTGGTTCATGAAAGATATGTGCTGTAATTAGTTACTAAAGTTCGAATGCAGAAATAAACCGCATCACATTGCCATAGTTTGTGGTATTTACAGCTCTTGGATGTGTAGTCTCCTAAAATACTAAAGAGTGTCTAGACGTTAGCCAGATCTAGTCGGAACCAGTCTTACATCTGCATCACACTTCAAATTTTGTTTTCCTCCTCGCATTCACATGCTGTCACACCCAGAGAATTACATATATCTGTGAGCCTTGCGGGCATTTCTGCTGCCGTGAATTTCTGGTCTTGGAAATCGATATATGTAGGATTAGATCAATTTTCAACTAAACGAGCTAATCACAATAGCCAAAGAACGTTAACCTCCTCACATCTATATCCCCACAAACCTAAAATCGACTCAATTCTTCCAATCGACCTCCCCATTTCGATAACCCTTCTAGCCCTACTCATCCACTCTTTCTCGTAACAAATTACACTACTCGTCTCAATCATCTTAACATTATATAAAATTAGCCGCCATATATCTATATCTAAAAACAAGCCAAGGAAAGCTCCCCGCACTCATCCATCCATCCATCTACCCATTCTCAATTAACCTTAAATGTAAACCCACCAGCCTCGTATTTCGCACATAGTTAAAAATCAACCTTATTCCCAGCCCTACATCTCCAATCCCAATTTCTCATCTTACTAACCTGTCCATTGTCATCAGCAAAAGATAATCTCTAAGCGCCCACCCGACGACCAAACAAACCCATCCCCCAATCCACACTCAGATCCTGGCGGCAATCCGGGGACTCCGGCTCAGCGATTGGGACAGTTTGCCAGTTGTGTCGGGCCGCTGGGAATATCCCTTTAACTCCCTTGAGCTTCAATGGGCGGAGTGGTAGTTATGCCATAGCGGGTGCGGGTACACATTGTTGCGGAACGGAAATCTCGGTGCCATTTAGCTAAGATGTTTCCTACTAGTCAATTGCAGTTGAGTTTCGACGCTAAACCCATAGGAGCGGGTTGGCAAATGATTCCCATAGGGTTGGTTCTATGGGATTGACGGATATTCTACGGATCTTTGGGGGAAGAGGGAGGGGTCGGTTGAGAATTATGATATTATTTCTCGACCATTGATATCTACAGTGATCCCATAAGAAATATTACCAAGGTTTAAAACGTCATTGACGATTACCCACCTTCAAAAAGATCAAAACGGCTTAACGGGTTACCCGTAAAGCGCTTCTTCAGTAAGCGCTGGTGGAATTCCGCCTTGCGACTTCCGAAATACATGTCACGTTATGTTCACATTGTAATCTTACAAGACCAAATGAACAACCTCATCACGAGGTTGAGGGAATCGACCGCATGTACGTGAAAGTCCAGAATGGCGTACACGATAAGCAATACGAAGTTGCGGCTCGTGGATTGTGCAAAGGCATGCTCAGCCATGTATACAGACAGCGGAAAGATGATTCGGAGATATTCAAATCGGTACGTATGCTACGTACATTGGAGATGGGAGTTTTACGAATTCCCAATCCTGTCATCTTGGCTCTGGTTTAGCTGTGAGGATTGTGTTGTTGAGGAGAATAGTATCGTGTCGATGTATGCTGTGTGTTGTATGCTGTATGTGATGATTGAAAGGTTTGAGATGAGATGGAAATGTATATAAGGTGCTGAGATGAAGCTGTCTGAATTACTTTCTACATCATCAACAACAACATTCAATCCAATCCACAACAAACTTCCAATATCTTCACCACCACACAACAATCACCACCACCCAAAACCATCAAAATGCAATTCTCTACCATCACCTTCCCAATCCTCGCCCTCTTCCTCACCAACACCCTCGCTATGCCCTCGAGCCCCAACACCAACGTCCTCGATTCTCGCAGCGACAGCTGCTACAGCTCCTGCTCCTGCGGCACTGTCGTTCCCGCCTGCCTAGGAGCCAAAGTAGTCGGACAAACCAAGTGTCGCTGTGACGGACAAGCCGGAACTTGCGATGTGGTTATGTGTCCAGATCTTTCTCTTAAGCAAGTGGTGAGTACTCCTTGTTTTCTTACTTTTGTGGTGTATACGATGGGAATGAAAGAAGATGGCTAATCTGATTGGTGATTTAGTTGGTTTGCGGTCAAGAAGGTACTGGATGTGTTTGGGTTTAAGGGTTTGCTGTGGATGATCTCTCTTTTCTGTCTGTCTTCGTTTGGATCTCGGGGTGAGGGATTTCGATTTTAGAGTTTGAGTGAGCGCGAGGGGGTTTGACTGTTTTCCTTGCACTTCTTCTACTCGCGACGATAATCACAATCACAACAACAACAACAACAATACAAATCCCCCACCTCTCACCAACAAGAAAGAGAGTACGAAATGCCAATCGAGGAACTGAGCAAAGAGTTGGTGATCGGAGGATGTTGTATGATAGATTTCCTTTTTATGTGTGTCATTGTTTTTATTTGTGTGTTTGGAATTGGATGATAGAATTAGAAGTTGGAGCTTTTCTCGTGTACTGGATACATAGAAATTGCTTGCAGTTTAGATAGAATAAGATTGCCTGGGCCCGGGTATTACTTGCAATTTTCTGCTTTGAGTTTTTGGTCTTTTGTGAAAGTGACTTTTGATCTTGTATCTTGATTGTGTTTCTAGGGAATTATAAGAAGCTTGATGTTCGTGGTAAGCTTTTTCCGTTCCACACAATTTCATTCATGTCTCTTACCTGTCTCGCTAACCCTTCTTCTGTCTATCTCCTCCTTTTCTTCAATACCCCTCAGCTACACCAGTCTCCCACATACTTCTTCGATTCTCGAGACACACTAGTAGCAATAACAACTCCAATATACCCATTCTCCTTCTGTGACAATATTCCCCTTCCATCTCCTCCTCGCCTCAACCTCCTCAACCTCCTCAACCTCTATTCTTCAATCCTCTCCTCCCCCACCCATCCTTTCTTCCCCTCACATCTTTTTCTCCTCTCCTCCCACCCATTCGCTTCGTTTCCTCTCTATATATCAATATCCCAATTCAACTCAACTCAACTCAACTCAACTCAAAAACAACAAAAACCCCCAAATCCATACATCCATACATCTCCCCCAAAAACCTAAACACATAAATCACATCAACCCACCTCAAGAAACCGCTCCTTCAAACCCAAAGCGAGTCTTTCCCGCGATCTGGAGAGATAAACAAGATATCGGCAGTACACTCATCCATCTCCCAACCATAGGTAGGTAGATATCTAACCATAACATTCTCGCCAAAGGGAAGGAAATCTAATTATACCTAGTAAACTCAAGGAAAAAATCAATCAATCAATCAAGAGTAAATAAAACACCCTACATCAAACCTCAAACCCCGCCCAAATATCAATATCAATATCACAATCACAATCACAATTACAATCACAACCACAACCACAATCACAATCACAACCACAACCACAAAACCAGTTCTCCGCAATCCACATCAGAAACAGGAAATCATCCCATCCTATCTTATTCTACAATATACATCTATCCATCTATCCATCCATCCCTTTGACTTTCGAGTCTCAAGTCTCAACTCTCAAGTCTCAACTCTCAACTCTCAACTCTCAACTCTCAACTCTCAACTCTCAACTCTCAACTCTCAACTCTCAACTCTCAACTCTCAACTCTCAACTCTCAACTCTCAAGCATCTAGAGAATTGTATAATCTTACCTCGTATCGAGTAATTCACATCTCATCTCATCTCATTTCATACCAAACAAACAAACAAACAAATAAATCTCATCCGTAATAACTTCAACCCTATCCTATCCTACCCTACCCTATCCCATCCCATCCATTCACATTCCCCTCACCAAGAAAAGTTAAACAAGAGAGAAAGATCCATCCCATCCCATCTCATCCCATCCCACCCCACCCCACCCCACCACAAATCATCGAGCTAGATAAAATCTGGATAAATAAAGAAAATGAAAATCGAAAGGGTTTCCATTCTATTTCTATTTCTATTTCTATTTCTATTTCTATTTCTATTTCTATTTCTATTTCTATTTCTATTTCTATTTCTATTTCTATTTCTATTTCTATTTCTATTTCTATTTCTATTTCTATTTCTATTTCTATTTCTATTTCTATTTATGATATATAGGTTTTGATCCCTCCTATCCTTCCTATCCTTCCTATCTTCCCCTGCCCCTTCCACCATTCCCTTCCGCCATCCCCCTACTTACTCATTACCTGCCTCTTTGTCCCTCCAAAATGCTTTCAATAATACAAGATAACACAACTAGCAAACAAGAATTTTTCATCCTAGAGAGAACAGAGAGAATAGAGAGAATAAATAGTACCTATTCAAACATCAAATCATTATTACCTTACAACTAACCTGTCATCTTTCTCACACACACGCATATACCTACACATACAACCACAACCCACCATCTCAAACACATTCATCAATTTTTCAAATGTCATCAAATATATGTATGTATTGTTTTTATTATAATATACCTATCTCCTTCATAAACCTCCCCCCATTCCATTCCATCCCTCCACATAACCACATAAACCCCCTCTCCCTTTCATGAAAATAATCTCCTTCCCCTTCTCTCTCCCCCTCAATCTCATTCCATCCCATCCCACATCAAATCATATCAAAACCCCACCCCACCCCAAATATCTATAACCCCTCAAAACTCAATGAATGCCATTGTAATTGTATTTGTAATATGCAATACGCAATACACATGAAAAGTACTGTGTTTCATTTCATCAATCCCATTCCCACCCAACCTAACCTAACCCAATCCATCCTATCGTAATCCTCCTCACTTCTCATCATCCCCAATTGTAAAATTGTAGAAAGAGTAAAAAAAAAGCGATATCATAAATAAAGAGTAGAGGAGAAAGCGCTTGCAAAAAAGAAAAAAGAAAAAAAGTCAAAACTTCAAGTCCATCCATCATTCACACCATGAGGAAAATATCTATCACCAGTTATGACCAAAGAATACAACGCTCGCTATTCATTCCATTCCACTCTCATCCTAATTTTTGCCTTATGCTTGTCTCGGTCTCACTTTCTTATTTGTTCCATTTGCGTCAGGAACCTCTCTCACGAACGTAACATGTTTATCGTCTTTTTTGGTGCGATCCTGACTCCTCCCTAACACCGCTCCTCTGACGACTTTCTCGGTGTCTCCATCCTCGATATCGATTTCGGCGACATCACTACCCTCGTCAGCATCTCCTGATGATACACTCTCTGCATCATCATCACCTTCGTCGTATTCACCATCATCACTAACAAGACTTGGAGCGTTGTTACTAACAACCGTGTTTGGACTTAGGTCAATAATGGAAGATGTATCGGGGATGCCCATATCAGTATCTCCATCATGATCGTGATCTCGAGTATTGATAGGCTGTGGGCGGTTATTTCTGGTTTCCGATACAGGAATAGAAGTATTGAGGGTGGCGAAAGTCAGACGAGGTGAGATGTGAGCTTGACCAGGTCTCCCGGAAGCATCCATACCTTTGCTGCTGGTAGGTCTACCAAAATATGCTGGTGACATGGTAGCCCGAGCTGGGACACGCATACCAGTCATTGGTGTATCTACTGAACCATCAAAGCCACCAGGGCGGCGTGAAGGTATAGCAGCAGTCGATTTTTCAGTCACTTCATCATCAGAAGATTCCTCCTCAGATGCTAAAAGTTCATCCATATCAATACGTGTTTTCGCATCACCCACTATTTCATCAAGGTCACCACCAAAGCCTCTGCTTTTTAGTAACTCGGAAAGATGAGGTGTAGCGGTTGATGGTTTGAAAATTTCCTTTGGAGGTTGCACTTTGGGTTTCACAACGGGTTGCTTCTGTGGTGATGACGTTGCACTTCCAGGAATCGAAGTCACACCAGGGAGCCTGCCTTGTAGATAGAGATTCATAGAATCTTCGATACGAGACCGAAGAGCAGTATAGGCTTCTTGATCGACGGGCGTACTTTTAATGAGAGGATGAACAAGTTCTCCAATTGGTGGTGCACTTGGACTCTTCTCCAAAACAGGAGCTGCACCAGCTTCATCGACTTCGATAATGTGTCCGCTAGTCTGTGCAGCTTCTTCATGACTCTTAAACTCACGATGATGAGCAATGCGACAATGATTGATAAAACCTTGAGTACTGGAGAAATCTTCGCGATTGCAATCCAAGCAGACAAGCTTAACAGTTTTACCATCACTCCGCTTGAGAATACATGGTCCAGACTTCTTTGGTTGAATATGACCGGTGGAAAGAGATTGCAAACTGTGAGATCCACGAGATCTCGATTTAGATGAGACATTACCTCCTTCAGCGATACTATTTCTAGTAGCTCTTCCTTCTGGTATCGACTTGCCAGCGCGTGGCCTCCCCGGACCTGCACGTGAATCAACAATATCAATACCATCAAAAGCAGGGTCAGGAATTAACCATTTTGCCCAATGTCTTGTGTACGGTCCTTCGGTGATTCCATACGGCGGAGCCCATTTTGGCACTTTGTCGCCACTCCAGACTGCTGGACCCGTACCAGTACTAACATTAACCATCGACTCGGAAGAAGCTTCAGCTTCAGCTCCTTGCGTGCCGGGGAACGGTATCAAGTGAGCGCGACGTAACTGTTCAAGAGAGACTTGACACTTTGCTAGTTCTGTTTCGATGAGGCGCAATTCGTTATGTTTCATGAGAATCTCGAGACTGAGTTGAGATTCGATTGTTTCTCGAACCAAACCTAGATCGACCACCTGTTCTTGATTATCGGTCATCACAGCATCTTCAGCCGACGAAGGCGATCGACACCCTTGTTCCGACATTTCGCGCTTCCTCCGTTTCACTTCTTGCGATGTTGCTGTTGTTGTCGTCGTCGTCGTCGTCGTCGATGGAGTGTTTGTCAAGATCGGTCTCGGAGCGTTCGGACTACTACTTCTCTTTCGTTTCGTAGGACTTGCGCATTCGTAAAGATCGGCGTTTGCCATATTATATTTTACTTCTCCATCTAACACTTGATCGCAACCCCTGGATTCGGAGATCCAAGATGGCAGGCGAAACATTCGCATATAAATGGGAAGGAGTCAAGTGCGAGTGCGATGTTTAAGTGAATGTGCGACCGGGCACTGTTTTTGTTGAACGGGTGATTTAATGCGCTGATAGTTGCCTAGTTTGCGCTATAAAATATGGTTGAACTAAAAGTCAAATTCACTGGTGGTTGAAGCGCAAGTTTTGCGAACTGACGTCGATGCTATGATAAGGACCTCCCTAAAAGTGACGGAATGAAAGTCTAAAATGTACAAGATCGAAAATGGAAATCAATTACAAGAGTTTGTTGTGTAAAATAAATTGTGTAAAATAAAAAGAAGGATTGCGTGAGAATTGAAATTATGCCGTATGAATTTTTGGCTTTTGTCGTGTGATTGATGTGATTTTTGAAGGGAAAGGAAAAAAAGATCGATGGTTGTGATGGGAAGATATTTTGTGTCGTTCGTTGGGTATAAAGGTTGTGTTTGATTGAAATGTTGCGACCGTGTAAGTAGGTAGGTAGGTAGGTCGGTAGGTAGGTATGTCGGTAGGTAGGTATGTCGGTAGGTGTGAGAGATGCAAAGTTCAAATGGGGGGTGCGTTGAGTGGGAGGGAGGGATATTAGGAATTTGAAAGGAGTTGACGTATTGATTTTGGATAAAAGTAGGCAAGGTCGGTCGGTGGTCGGTCTCTAGTAAGGTACTAATGTGATGTGGGTAAGAGCAGTGGAGGAGGCGATAAGAGTCGATTGTTCGTTGGTTTGTTGAGTCGTTCTTGCGTTGATTGGTTCTTTCGTTCTTTCGTTCTTTCGTTCTTTCGTTGATTGGTTCTTTCGTTCTTTCGTGCTCTCGTTCTCTCGTTCTCTCGTTTGCTTTTCGTTGGTACGTGAGTTGTTTTGGTGGTGGTGCACACTTATTAATCAACTGGTGTGGTTGTGTGGCTCGAGTGGGTGAGTGGGTGAGTGGATAGATGGGTGGATGGATGAATGAATGAATGAGTGAGTGAATGGATAGATGGTCCTTGCACTCTCTAATAATAAATGAAGTAATAATAAGAAGTGTGAATGAAGTGATGGATGGTACCGGTATGGGTATGGGTATGGATGTCGAAACAGACAAGCGGTAAAAGAAGTAGGTACAGAGGTACAATACCAGTACACCTAGGCAGGTAGAGAGGTAAAACAAAGCGGCGGGAAAGGGAAAGGGAAAGGGAAAGGGAAAGTCGAATGATTTTGGCTCGTTTGGTTTGGTTTGGTTTTGGTTCTGTTATTACAAATGAATTTCAAAATCGAAATGAAACACCGGAAGTAAAATAACAGAGAAGAAAGTCGAAGAGTGAATTTGGATCAAAGGTAATTTATAAAATCAAGTCGTACGTATATGAATGGGGAAGAGATGAGGCTGTTTTCAATATGTTTCGTTGAGTACACTCCGTATCGTGTCGGTAGTATTGTATGGGTAGTATTGTTGGAAATCCGGAGTGAGATTCTGTAGTACAGTTTGGGTGGTTGATTTGATGCTTGCTTGCTTGTTTTTTGGTTGAAAGCTGGAAGATGTAAATTGCATGTAGTTTGGAAAATACAAATCTGTAAATAAAATCAAGAGGGTGTTTGGTAAAAGTTGAAGAAGTGTTCGTTGGTGGCTGAGAATAATAAGAAATGCAAAGAATCAGTGCTTGTTTGTTTATTCCCTAGGTGGAAAAATTAATAAGGGACGGGAAAGCCTATGAGACTTCTGACTTTTCATTCCTGGCTGAGTTGTTGAAGTTGGAAAAAGTGTTGCATACCTATTACCTATTACCTATTACCTACGACTACGACTACAACTAACTGACTTTACTACCTAGGTAGGGGAAGTCTGATTACACTGGAAGAGGTCAAAGACCCTCTTTTCTTTTTCCATTCGATTATCACTCATCACCCATCACCCATCACCCATCACTCATCACTCCATCCATCCATTCATCCATCCATCACTCATCCATCACTCAACTCACTCCCATACAGTTCAACCTGCACTCCAAACAAGCCACTTCGTTCCCAGCCGACCCATAAGAAGAATAATGCTCACCAAGTCTACCACACTACCACACTACCACCCGTAATGCCCGTGAATAATTAATCTAAGCGTCGTTTTTTATGCGACATTACAATCCGAGTGGCAAGGATGACGACGGGGATGAGAGTCTTATTATTGCTTGGGGAATATCTTGGAATGAACAAATGAAGAGAGATCATTGGGTAAGAAGATAAGTAATCCCGGTTACTGCCCATTGTACTTCCAAACTAAACTATGTAAGGATACTCTTCTCTTCTCGATCCCTTCTTTTATTCCATGGACGACCCATTTTTGACAATGTCCATCTTCGTATGCAAGATGTTGGACCCACGAAATGTATGGGTAGTAAGAGGGATGTACTATTTCATCCATGTATCGCATGATTCCAAAAGCAGATCATACATGGAAAAAGGGGAGAGGAAGTAGAGGTGAAGCACATGTGAAATCTACCTCCTAGGTATACAAATGAAGGGAGGAATCCACTAGGTGTGATGTGTTTCTTATGTATGTTGCGGTGTTGGAGCCATTTCCACTTCATCAACATGTCTACATATCATTCACGTACTCGGTCTCTGCTTAATGCGTATACACTTCATACGTACGTGAGCCTAGTTCATTTTGAGCTATGGAGGGGGTTACTTTTCCACTATTCTAAAACTGACTCATAATGTTCTCGACCATATGCTAATAGTGCAAGCCAAGGATATTGAAAAGGCTGCCCCAGATTTATATCAAAATTAGAATCATTTCATTAACAACCGTGCGCCGTCTACAAAAGGTACTTTGGCAATAATCCCATGAATCCCCGAATAGACAAAAAAGAAGGCCGCGTGGATAAACCTACATTCCTATCAGATCGTAGAAACTTCTCAAATAGATATCCGATACGACCACACAATTTTGCTTACTTTGCGTCCTCGTTTTTCTTGATATTGGCTCGTCTAGGCTTGACGGTTTAATTAAGACCAGGGCAAAGAGGCGTGAATGCTCCCGAAAGGTCCAGTCAAACGGCTGTATCTGAGACTATCTTGGGCAACTACCCTTGTTTGATTTTATTAGATGTGTATCGAACATCAACCTCTTCGGGAGGCTGCGCATTTTTGGTCCCATGGGAAATCTTTCGCAATGCCTTCCTGCATCGTGCTTGATACTGTGCACCATTTACCGGCAGATATGCACAAGGCTTGTGACAGTGACATTTGCGTAGCCTTAGACACAAAACAAAACGAAACGAAACGAAATGAAAGAGCAAGAGAGAGAAGAAGCACTCCATGCTTTCGTGAACTTATAATATACACAGATAAGGGTTTTGAGGCTGTAGATATATGAAACGGGAGTAATTGATCCATGAGACTATGCCGTGATAGACCCCCCCCCCACTCATCTTTTTGATGAGGGGGAAAGCTTAAGTGCTTATCTATTTAATATTGACCAAGCGCCGATGATGATAGAGAGCAAACTAATCTATAGCTTTTATCCATGTAATACTCGGTGTGAAGAAATGATGCGCCTCTTCATGACAGGACAATGTCACTGCGAACCCGACGAATCGGGATATTTTGTCTAGCCTTGCAGGACGATTCTACAACATCTGCAGGACAAACAGTTGTGGACTTTCCGATGAACTTCGGGTTCCTGTATAAAGAAGATTCTTGTCAGCACTTTGTATTATGAAGACGAAGAGATGAAGGGATGAAAGAATACAACATAATTGATAAATTTCAATGTGTTATGAATGATGGGAATTTATCTCTATTGAGAAGTCTCTCTGGGGTCTAGACACCATGAGGACGCGGTGAATGCGGCCGCTCTGCTGGCTACGAGTGAAATTCTCAACTATAGGCTTTTGATTGGTTCATTAAAATCTTCCGACCTCCGATGCTCTCCAAAAGCTGCCCAAAATTTACCCAAGGCTGGATAATGCTTCAAGCTAAGTCCTCTCAAGATGTCGAGGTGATATTTCCAGGATCTTCTCTCGAAAGGTAAACAAATAATATCTTCACTCTTTATTACATGGTTTCTTTTCATCCCATTAGCGAACCTCACACATTCATCCCTTGACTGTATCTCCAAGGTACCATACTTTTTCTCATCTTGCAAGCTTGGAACTTCCACCTTAATCTTCATACTCAAGGATATAATACAGCGCAACTTCAAATCTCAATACCGACACGGACGAAAATGGCACGAACCAAGGGGGCAGCTCGCAGCGGCGAAGCGGGGCATGAGTTTCGAGAGAATCAAAAGCGCAAACGCGAACTAGCAGAGGGTGCCTCAAGAGACAAAGGAAATTTCCCCTCCATCTTTCAGGAACAAGATCGGCCCTCGAAAAAAGCAAGAGCAACTACCACTGTTACCAAGATATCTTCTCATCAATCCTCCTCCGTTGCTCCAGACACTCAAGATCGAGTACAGACTGACGCTTCCTCTTCCGTCCCAGTCACCACAGCACCCTCCAAACTCGGAGGGCAGCGTCAAATCCCTGCCCCTCATGATCTAACTCACACCCACCGAACAACCGAGTTGTCCATCCTTTCCTCCTCGCAGATCCAAAAGAAAGCCTCGCGTATCCTCTCGATCCTCAGTACCTTTTCTTTCTCGGATCCAGCACCACACGTCGTGCTTTTATCTGCCAAAGCACCTGTCGCAGGCAAACTCATTACTATTGCAGAGATAGCTAAGCGGGAATTGGCGAAAACTGGAGCAAAGTGGTTTCAATATAATGTTGTTGGAGAATTGACTGCTACCATCCCGAGTAATACTGCAGAAGCTGAGAAGACTGGAGATGAGAAAGATGGAGATACTGAGATGAAGGATGGGGAAGAAGAAGAGGAGGAGGCTTTTGAAACCATGAAAACTCCCTTCGAGAGAGCACTCGAAGCAGAAGATAGACCTAAGATTCGAGCTGTGCCTACTTTTACCCTCTATCTATCTCGAGTTAGGATTGAAAGCTTGAAGAAGATGTATGGGTATGTATAACCACATCATCTGAACCATATTCGTAACGTATGGTAACTAATCTAATTTTTTAGAGAGCAAACTAATGCCTTGACTTGATCGAGCCATCGCATGGCTAGAAGAGAGAAAGGGTGTATTATACTATGAACAAATGGATGGAACGTAATTGAAAAGGGACTTGGCGTTTAATGGACCCGGGAGGAAATATTCATAGATGGAGATACCCCAATACTTGCTTTCAAGGGTAGCAGGATGGTAGTGATATCAGCAGGGGTGCATACAAATCAATGCACACTTAGCGATGCAATACATGAGATAGAAGCTTTAGCCCAGCGTGCTAATTCGAACCCAAAAATATACATACATATATATGACATGACAGCGACGACTAGCTACCACTAGTTATCACTATCTAGTGATATAATTACTTCCAGCTTTCCCAATCTAAATAAGCTCGCTCTCAGTTCAATAACTAACTACATTTTCCTGCGAATGTCCAATATACATACAAGCAGTTGATATACTGCTGGTCTGGCAGTAATAATTATGTATCGTTTCTCGATTGCAACGTTCTCCTTCATCAGCAATATGTCCTCGACTCTCAACCCATAGTCTCCCCCTTATTCTCGCTTGCCCAAAAACCCCTTCACTACTCATCCCCTTTCCAACCACTATCACAAATACAAGCCTTTCCCTTCTCATGCTCACTCCCTCTCCATCCTTCTCTGTTCTCCTCCTATTCAATCCCTCCCATAAACAATTCTCAAGATAAAGTTCACCACCACTGCCACCAACAACACCAAAGCCAACACAGTCGGACCAACCCGATCATCGAATCCTCCCTGTCCTCTCAACCTAATACTCTTCGCACGCCAATGGTACGTATACAACGCATATCCCATTGTCAACATGGAGATGACTGTGAAAATGGAAGCGGAGATGAAGGCGGGACGATCGCCAAAATTCAACATGCCGATTGCGAGGGCGCCGAGGATGACGGTGAAGTTGAGCCAGGAGAGAAAGGTGCGCTCGTTGGCGAAGAAGACCTTGGGTTCGACGCGCGTGGGGAGCGCGATGCGTTTTCCTATGAGAGGGGAGAGGTTAGTTTGAGGAGGTTGGGTGGGAGTTGAAAATTGGAATGGGAGTTGGGCATAGATAGAAAAAAGTTGGAGCTTGCGGGAGCTTGAAGCGTATGCATTTTGCGGAACTTTCTTGCAGAGATGGGAATTGAGAGGACTAACCAGGCGCCGTTTGAAGAAGTGGTTGACTCGACATCGTGAATAGAATGAGATTTTGTTTGCGGATTGTGTGTATGAGGTATGACGATAAGGATCAAATGTTTAAGACACCCGATTACTTGCTTCGACAGAAAACCGTACTACAAGATGGTAGAAGTCAAGTCTCTTTACAAACTCTTCTAGTTAGTGGCAGTTATTCGTACTCGATTTCGTAGACTCCGTGAGCGAAAACTCTTTCAATGATTGCGAAGTTGTGAAATTATGAAGAAAGCTGGAAGTTGCATTGGAAGATCATTCAGAAAGTTAACCTTCACATTTACTTTCTTCTGGGCTGAATTCATAAATGAGATGAGATGGGCCCCACTCTCTAACACGTTTCTACCGATGTGATATTATTGGACAATGCTTGGAGCTTTCTAGGACTATCACACTTGACCAATCAACAGTGGTGCAACACGTTCACTAGAAACCGGATAGCTAGCTCCTTGTTTGTGTTATGTTGCCCTGGCGTGCCTGGTAGGGAAATCAAAGCTTAAGCCTCGCAATCATAATAAAACACAGGGAAAGATTCAACAACATTAACATTGGAGATTCTCAACGCAAGACCGTTTGAGTAACAAACTATTATACTATTACATCATATCATATACAAAAGACACAGCAAATATGGCCACTCCTGTAAGTTTCTATCCGAGATTGAATTGGGAGGGGGGTGAAAGAAGATTTAACTGATTGTATCATCTAGCCAATTTCGTACACACGATTGAGACAAATCGCAAGTGATGTGAGTTTATCAAATACCTACCAACATATATTTTGTTGGTGATGTTTGTTTACTGGATGGCATACTGAGAATCATACCATAGGCCTGTCAGAATGCACTTGGAAGTGCAGAGTTCTATGAACACAGCAAGACTGAATCTTGGAATACTACCATCATTGTATGTATACAACCCTTCCTCCTACAAAGACAACAAAGCCGCCAGAGCACAATAAGTAACTCTCTAACCACTTTCTCCCACAGAACTCGATTCTTAAATCTCTCATCTCCGAATCTACACCCTCAACTGGCGGTTCCCCATCTTTCAAATACGCAGTCAATTCCACCATCATTCAACATCTAGTACCTACCTCTTCACTCAACAAATCCAAAGCATCACCTCCAACAACCACAGAAGACACAACAGACGATGCGAAAGTAACAACAAGCGATGCACAAGGAGATGCAAAGAGCACAGATGGTAAACCTCACGTAGGAAGGAGGGGAATGCACAGTGCGACGGGAGCTTATTGGAATGAGAAGACGGATGGCATGTGGAGTTTTAAGTATGAGGGTGGTGAGAATAAGGGTCTGGATGTGGTTATCAGTGTTATTTGGATTGCGTTGTAGGGTAGGAGATTATGAGATGGGGATGGAGGTGGAGGTGGAGATTAGAGGAAAGAAGGGATTGATGAATACGATTGATTCGTTTGGTGGATATAATGGTGAAGGACAATATATCGAAAGTAGATGATAGAGGGACGGTTGCAGACTTTGTGTGGGGAAGAATGGGGGATATACATTGAGAGCTTGGGGTATGGGGTATATGATTTGCACTCTTTGCGCCCCAGTCGCAGTTGAGGTGACGAGATTCGATCGACCGTTTGTTGTCAGTGGAAGAAATCCTGGCAGGAGATAAGGTTGATTGATATGATGTAAATTCGATGATCTTTGGCGGCTTATGCGATCCAATTGTACCATTTCATCCATTTCACTTCTCCCTTTTAGCATTTGATCATGTTATGTTGAGGTGGTATTGGATGTGAGTATCGAATCGGCTGGTAAATTGCCTGATGTGCTCTTACTCGTCATGATGTATGAAGTGATTTTGTTGATTGGTCTACATGACGACAAGATAAGAAAGTAACTCTTTTGGCACTTCTCTGAGCTATGGTGGTGTGATCTTTAATCCTGTTTCCAAAATAACTTTGGGTGGCAGACTGGAAGCACCCGCACCGTCAATATGTACGATACTATCCCGAAAGGATGGTATCATATCATTAGCTCGGAAAAGTGTCGGTGAATCCTCTTTGCCTTACATTATCGGAGGTGCATTGCCTTACATGATCTACTTCTATCTACCCGGATAGTATATAAAATTTTGTTACCTCATCGCCAGCAGATAACATACAAAAATAGACGCGAATTTGACATCACTGTTTCAAGGTTCTTCGTAACCCCTTACTCAAGTATTCTGATCAGAATCGAAACACTGAGATTACCTCATCATCGAGTCATGTACTTCCGAGTCACGGATCTCATTCAAATATCCCACGATTCCCCTTTCAAAGCCTCGGATCAATTACGCTATCGAGGTTTCAATCCGCTTTTAGTGAGATCAATAGTGGGTCGGCTTGGGTGAAGAAAAGGTTGGAAGGCAAATGGGAGCTCCGATTTTTCACCGCAAGAAGGGTCCTTAGTGGTTAATCAGATGTTGGGTCCTGGTTAGAGACACGGGAGGAGGGCTCCGGGCTAAAATGGTGCGTGGGAGACTCCGGGGTGGGCGGATACTAAATAGTTAGGTCATGTCTGGTTTTTGGGGGTGGTTTTTTTGATAACTTGAACTTCATTGTATACATACCATTAAACCATTGACGATAAGACGACTAGACGATTGAACGACGAAACGACGAAACGACGAAACGGATTTCAAGCGAGAAATTTTACATGCGAAAGGAGGATATACTTGTGGTGTAGATTGGACCACCCGACGAATCGTGCCACGGACGACTGTATATTCAAGAAAGAGTTTACTTTGTGGAAATTACCACGAGTTTAAAGTTTCAATATAAAATAGCAATCACGAGAGTTAAGAATCACGAGATATCTACATACGAAAGAGGAATCGACGATATTGTCGCCCCTGGAGTGATATTTAGGAGGAAGAGTGAGTCAATCTTTGAACAAACCGGATTCTTCACTGACTCAAATACTAGACAACACCGCTTTTTGAATCATCGATCCTCTTCAATCAAGTTACATATACATCTTGACGAGATTGAAGCCTCATCAAACAAACCTGTGTAGCAAAAACCACACATCATTTCTAGATCATACTGTCCATCAAATTCACCACATCATATTACCCCATCTTTCCCACGAGAAAATTCACCATGTCTCCCCACACATCTCCAAGGGGAACCACAAGCTCGGACCCTGAATTCTCTGAAACGGGTCTCGAATCCATGTTGAGAGATCTCATGACCTCTTCTCCATTTACTACGGCTACTTCTTCATCTGTTCCTGGTCTAGGTTTAGATTCCCCGGCTTCACAGACTGCAGATCTGGAGAGTCTTCCTAATACCGATACTGAGAATTCTTCTGGAGCATCTTCAGATTTTGAGGATGGAGATGTGGATGGAGATACAGAGGAAGAAAGTGACTGGAAATTTGAAGTCACTCCCGAGATGACTCGTCGATTATCCATCGTTCCCAGTCCGGAAATCACAAGAAGATTAAGTCTCGTACCCATGTCTATGCCTTCACATCTTCTCCAAGCATCTCAATCTCTCTCTCAAGCTCTGGAAATGCAGGAACAAGACGAAGAAGCCGTCGACGAAGAAGACGAGAAAATTACTCTCCCCACCCTACCAAACGAACTCAAGTTGGAAATCTTTTCCCATCTAGACCCCATCGATGCCACATGTCTCGCTCTCACTTCCCGCCATACATATCTCATCTACCGCGCCATCCACGGCACCGCTCTCCCTCTCAACACCCGCCGCGTCGGGCCCAATAACCTCGAATACGCATTCACGAAATCCACCGAGAATATGTGTACGCATTGCGGCAAAGGTCGCTGCGAACTCTGGATGCACATTCGAGAATTCATGGAGACGGGACCCTTGCAGAGAGAATATTGTGGGATGAAGGGAAATTTCGGAGGAAAGGGAAGAGAAGGTGTAGATGGTTGTTGGAGGGGTAAACCGAGCAAACCGCGGAGATGCGGAAAACACCCTGAACGCACGACGACGGTGAGGGTGGAGGATGGAGGGGAGAATTTGGAGAGGATTATTAGGGAGGCGAGGGCTGCGGTGGGGGTTTAGTCACAGGTATTTGTGAAAAGTCTTCGCTGCGGATGGGGTTGCGAGTTTGGGTCGGCTAGTTGGGAAACGGCGACATTCCGTACAGAACAGACAGCATTCTCCGGAATAACGAGAGAAATTAAGAAGTAGAACGCGGAAGGATGTCCATATTTGAGCGTTTGGAGACAGAGATGGATGGGTACATATTCTCGATCGATATCTAGATTTACACGCGATACCCGACTTATTGATGATGATTGCATGCATTGTTTGCATTGTTTGCATGGGTAGATATAGAGAGAACATGCGGGTGGGTGGACGGGCGGCTGGCGGGCTATCTTTGCTATCTTTGCTTCTTCTGAATTGGTTGGTTGGTTGGTTGATTGGTTACATATGGATGGGTATGATGAATGGATGTTGGAAATAGATTGCTATGCTAGATCGTAGATCGTAGATACCATGCATGAATGAATTTTACTCGAGAGTTTTTGAGAAGTTTGAGATTTGAGATGATTGTGCTTTTGTGTGTGTGTTTCTTTGATGTGATGGGGTGAGGTTTCTTGGGTTGCGTGGGTATTTTGGTTGAGGTGTGGGATGGATGGATGGAGGGATGGAGGGATGGAGGGATGGAGGGATGGAGGGATGGATGAATTTTTATGTGTGAAGTTATGTGACATGAAATAATGCGATGTGAGATCTAGGAAATTCTCACCACGTGAGCGAAGGAGCGAAGGAGTGAAGTGTGGATGGGTATTCTTTAGTATTTTCCGCTACAGACAGTAGCTAGCTAGCTAGATTCATCACTCGAGTACATTTAACATAGTTATACAAGTGAAGACGGATATGGTGATTATATTAATAGGTAGGTAGGTAGGTAGGTAGATAGATTGATAACTAGATAAATCAATCAAATCTTTCTTATCTATTAAAATGGATATCATAATATAGTATTGGTATTGTTGTAGAGATAGGTAATTACATAGGTAGATAGTGGATTTTAGGATGTGGATAAATAGTATATTATGGTATGATTAATTATTGGGTTGGTTTGATATTTAATGGGATTTGGATGAAGATTTGGATGGAGATTCGAATGGGGATTTGGATAGAAGATTTGGATGGCAATTCCGAGGATCTAAGTCGGTTAGCTGGTCAGTTAGTTAAGTGAGGTTAGTTAACTAAGTTGATTGCTTGGGAGTTGGTATTATTGATTGTGTATGTGTGTGCAGATAGATAGATGCAGATGGATAAATAGACATTTCAGGATTGAAAATTTCAGAAATGTAGTGATACGCCATGATCGAATTGACGAGGTTACTTCTATTCTTTGCACATGTATGAGTTCTGTTCGAGTCATCGGTTCGGTTTGGTTTGAGGTATAGGTGTGTGGGTGTGTAGATACTTGATGGTAGGTAGTGAGTGGAGGTCGTAAGATGGGTGATTACTGTATGGTTTTGGTGAAGATTTAGACGGTGTAGAGTGATGGGATGAGATTTTGAGATTTTGAGAAGTTGGCAGATGATGTGGTGGGTGTAGTTTAGTTCTTCTTGGTGAATTTGGTTGGTGTTTGCCTAGGGGGTTAAAGAGCGAACTTCTGTTTCTCGATTTGAAGGTTGTGATATCGAGTGTATGTTGATTGATGTGTCAGATTCAGATTCACGTTGCTCTTGTTATTTGGATATATAAGCTGTGTGTCTTTGATGGTACTGAGCATGACTGGGTTAGATATAGTGTCATAAATCATATTAGTCATTATTCTTGAGCTGCTCGAACTCAAAAGTAGAAGCAAATATAGGGGAACCGAAATGATATTGTGTTTCTGTTGCGAAACCACTGTATGTAGGTATGGATACATTTCCGTTGTTCACTAGGTATGCAGAATATCTGCACTCTTTACAAAGGGTATTAGATGAAGCATGCAGGTCTGTGATCTTCGTGGTACGTGAAAAGAGAATCTCGCACCTGGAGGAAAATGAAAGGAGTTCATTGAGCTAGGGGCAGATGGCTCAATCACGGGGATGAGTCGATGAAGAGCTCAGAGAAGCTAACAGTGGTAGAGAATGTTCTCATTATCTTATTCTGGAAGAATACAATAAGCGAGTATGAATTGAGGCATTTGAAGAAATACAAATCCTCCGTCGCCCACTGGAATGATGTCGTAAAAAGGGAAATACGTTCTTCTCGGTTAGTGAAATTGTAGAGATACTAGTGAAAAGAGGTGTTATGTCTGGAGAAACCGTGATAGTGCTCTACAGAAAGAGAATGCCATGTATGGGAACAAACCAAAAAAAATAGATTACTTCAATATTAACGCACACGCAATACAAATAAACAACAATCCCAAGACGCGTGCTCGAAAACAGATCATGCAGTACCAAACCATATCTTAAACTGGTAGAAATCATATCTTCAAATCCAATGTTATATCCTAAACAAGCCTAAACAAGAACAATATCCCGCAGCTCAGATTCATCTTCCGGCCACCTTTGACCTTCCGTAACTCCATATATGTACGAACAAGGACCAATAAATGAGTAATTCTCACCAGCAGGTCTTAAGACGACTGGTACGTCTAGTCCTTTCAGTAAATAAACTTCGTCGTCTTGTTGTGCTGTGTAGGCAGCTGAACCGTAGCAGCTGTCAAGAAACAAGAGAGAGTGATTCTGTAGTTCGGTGAGTCTAGTTGAGAGTGTTGAAACTGCTAATTTGATGCGTTCGAAAACGCGAGTCTTAGTAGGAGATTGTTTATAAATACCAAAAAATAAGTCATCCAAGTCGGGACTCTGATTGTCAATCAAAGAGGTGCCCAAGGAAGTGGCCAGCTCACCAAGAGCCTTAAAATAAGTTTCATCTCCAGCTTCCACCTCCAGAAAAAGTTCATAAGCTTTTTTAGCCTGTGCTGAATTTAACAGCTGACAATCCGGATAAAGCATCAAGTCATATAGAAGCCTAAGTACCACCCCGAGTCCTGAATCTTTCCAATAAACATTAGAACTATAGGTAAAGATTGTAGCACCCAATGAGTGCTGTAATTCCTTGCGTGTAGAGTAGATAGATGAATCGTTGACAGCACAACACCAAGTTCTAAAGACCCTAAAATTCTCAGGTACTGATTGTTTTGAAGATAAATTATTAGGAGTATTGCAAACAAGCACACGCGAAATGAGACCCACACTCAGACCATGTAGATGAAGTTCTCCGGTTATTGTTTTAGGGGATTCATTTAGCGAAGACCCATTTGAGGCACGGCTAAGCGGGTGAGATTGCCCCCGAGAGTTTCCAACCCCATTTTTATGAATAGTCAGTCTATAGTCAAGCGCTGACTGTCGGTTTCCCCAATCCGGTACCCAAGACGGCAGACGTGATTCTTTACTAGGCAGTCGAGCAGCTAGAAGAATGATGTTAAGATTTTGTTTTGAGTGAAACCAACATCTAGTCAATTCCTCGCATAACATTTCGAAGGGTTGATCGTAATTGACTCGGGGGAGATCCGGATTCCAAAATCGAAGTAATGGGTATATGGAATATATTTTGTCATGGGGGACTGTTGCATCATGCTCTAATGCCGATGATAGGAGACTCATTTCCATATCGAAAGATCCTGGGAAAGAATTTTGCAGTTCGATCAATTGAAAAGTTGAATGGGATGAGTTATCTTGTGAAAATTGGACTCGTCTCATCATAGGAGATGATTCGGCACCTTGTGAATTTATGAACCGTCTCAATTCTTCCCGAACATCAATAGCCGGGAAAAAACCGCTATTGATGCCAGATAGTGAAACTATTCGAGATTCAATATCATATACACCAATAGGCAAGAGTTTCCACCGAATAGAGGATGATCCCCAGTTGACAACGCATTTTCTAGAAAAGGCCACTTCTTGAATGGTCCAACAGCGAGAAAACCATGAATTATTCTGCAATTCAATCCAGCTCTGATAGAATGTTGTATTATCTATTCAACGATTACTTAAAGTCCACCAAGATACATGAGATTCGAATGACTATTACCTCGTAGTTGGTCGACGAGTTTCCTTAAAATATCTTCTCTCCATGTTTCCAAAAAAAAATCTGGTATTCTCTCACCAGACAGTTTCAATATTGCGGCTGCCTGTAGTATCATCAAAGTTTTCCTCGTCGAGACTGAGCATTGTCCCAGCCAAACTATGACACAACGGGCTATGCGATAAACCTCACCCATGAGTTGTATTTGTACAACACGCTCTTCTTCCGATGGTTTACTTTCCTCCTGGTCGATACAAATAGAATCAATCCAGAGAGTTCGTCTCCATAACCGACGTCGTAGACGGACTAGAGCAGTGTGACAGTTTTCTGTCACGAGAAGAGACTTGCCGTTACAATCGATGAGTATTGAACCACTTCTCGAGCCCCAAACGTACGAGAGAGCTTCATAAGGTCCTGGAGTTTTATAGCCGTGAGATACATATTTATCGATGTTAAGTTCTGTAAGACGACACTTAATTGGAGCATTTTGCTTTATTGAAGGGAGAAGCTTAAGGATACGGATCAATCGAGGAGATTGAAGTCGCGTATGCCTGTGAGGCTCCAAATTCTCCATCTTTTATTGTTCAACAGGAAAAAAAGCTTTTATTTTATTATTTCTTCAAAGAAAAGGATATATAGAGCATAAGATCACCTCCGCCGCGACGAGGCTCCTTAGCTAGGTCCCGTAAGCCTCGGGCTTATCTTACAAACATGCTAGCACATCTGACTATACGGTTGAACTTTCGTTGAACTCTCAACCGAATGCAGTGTAACTTATAATTTAGGCTGTGCAAGAATAATCTGTACTCATAGGTAAACTGTAAAATGATCCGCCCTGTGCCATCCATCAAAGATCCTATCCGTTTTATGAGTGGTCTATACAATGTACCTTGAATAATAAAGCCTAATCAATTGATATGACTATTTCAATACTGTTGAATGGATTCACTGGGCTCATGTACACTAGCTCAGCATTAGTCGACAAGAGATATATCTTCTCTTGATTCCATAGTTTAATACGATAGTCATAACAATGCAAGCCTCCGCATACGTAATCTTACAATAAGCACCATTTCAAATCCCATATCTTTGAAGAGATATTTAACGACATGTGTTTGACTTTTTATGATCCGAAAAAAAAAGCAAGTAATATAAATTTAGCTAATAAATCATTAGTCCGAATTTCGATATCAAAATAATACGATTTCATTATTTGATTGCAAAATAGAAAGACGTAAATTGCTCAAAATCCAGTGATTCAAGCCATCTGATTAGTCCATAAAGCCCCTGTCAAGCGAGGAGAGGGGGCTCAATAGATTTAAACCAGCACAATACCATGAGACACAAAGAAAAACCCATTTGCTTCAATTCCCCAGATAGCCAATGTTAAATTTCAACTCGTCGCTTTCAAAGAATAGAAAGATCTTCTAAAGACTACACAACCACACAGCAATAAAACACTCAACTGACTATCGGAAACAAAAGAGAATTGGTCTTGCAGAAATATTCTCTCACTACTGTATCAATATCTTTCTACTCAATAATGATACGCTACTTGACCTAACGAAAGATGTAAAGATGCTAAGGCTCTAAGCGCGTACTACTCTATGCTGATGTCATTAAGATAGTGTGGAGTACATAGGTATATTACCTAGTCAATTCCTCGCACCTCTTAATCTAATAAGTAACATATGTATATGCTCAGCCCCCAAACTGAGCTCATACAACATAAACCAACAGCTTAAATCAGGGCGTACATATTGAACAAATTTTCAATTTCATAGTTCAAATACTGATTCATTCGGGTAGACATAAAACTAGAAATCAAACAAGTACAAACTCCGCGGTAGTTACTTCAAATAATAAGTTAACCTTCCCAACATCCAAATCCCAATCTTTATATGTTATCAACCGAGCCCTTCCCAAATTTAATCTCCTACTGTTCCAAATTCCTAGCATAATATTCTACTTCAGCTCCCGAGTCCCAGTACCAGTGACCTTGACATCCAACTCTTGAACCCCCCTCATGATTCATCTCCTCCGCCAAGATTATCTCCTACGACTCACAACCGTACTATTAGAAACCACCGTCGCATTCCTAACCCCTCCATTCACAATCCCCGTCGCATTCCTCAACAACCCATTACTCGCCGTAACATACTCACAAGCGCCACCCGGACAATATCCCCTACTACAAGCGAAATTACACAGACCATCGTACAACTCATCATCCAAGCCCGGCCCCGCAGTCCCAGCTCCATCAATAACAGGTAGGGGTGGATTAAGCACACCTTGGGCTGTGCATGTGCAGCTGTGGATTGGACAGTATCCGTAGGGACATGCATATCCGCATAATCCGCCTAGGTTGTCGACACCAGTTCCGCCAACGCAGGCGGGAGGGAGAAAGGGGGAGACGGTTTCGGGAGCTATGCCGTAGTTTGTGGTGCCGCAAGCGCCGGGTCTGGAGGGTTTGTTAGTGGAATTTTTGGACGGCTGGGTTGTCAGAAGGCTTAAGGGGGGAACGGAATGCAATGACAGAGTTTTATGCCAGGATGATATGAAGAAATGATAGAAGAGCGCTACACTTACGGACAATACCCAAAGAAACAATTGAAAGAGCAAAGACCTTGATACTCCGAAGTTAATCCTTGCGCAGGATACCCAATCGTACCATAGCCCGGTGTATTTGCTGCAGTTGGACGAGTCGGTTGTGGTCCATAATTCGTGCATGTGCATGCGGTATACTATCATCTCAATCAGCAACATTCCTAACCTTTCTCGCCAAAGCTATGAGAGATTCCTCATGGTACATACCGGACAATAACCCAATCCGCAAGCAAAAGAACAAAGGCCTGCAAAATTGTTCACTCCAAATCCTGCAATACAGACTTGTTCTGATATATTAAGTGCAGGAGTAGCGGTTACAGCACTACCGGTTTGGAAACCCGTGTATGCGTTATAGTTTGTGTAACCATCCCAGGTCGAACAGTCGCTAGCGATGGGATTTCCTTGGAAGATTATTGAACCGCTGGATGGGGTGTGCACTGTGACAATTACATTTCCGGTGTGAGAACCGTAGGCTACGCTTCCGTGGTATATTCCGACGGCGTCGGAGGGGGTGTCTGTCCAAGTTGCGCCTATTGAGAAATGGGTCCGAATTAGTCTTTTGTCCTTGATGCTGCGGGGATATTATCCTTTAGAGGCTATTGAAACTTACCCAGATCAACACCGCCAACAGTGACGGTTACAGTTCCAGCCTCAGCAAGCACCGCTGAGTAGAATATCTTATCTTGGACAACATCTGTAGGGTAAAATTCAATCTGAAGCTGGTTGGCAGTATTCCCCGTCGTGTCGCCATCACTACATGCACTGTTGTCTTTTGAAGTAAGTCGATACCAAGCTGTGACGACTTCTTGCTTAACGGTAGCAATACCACTTTTGTATGTATCAATCACAAAGGGTAGGGTTTGTCTCCATGCGTCATGAGTCATACTATCGGCGTAATTGTAAGGACCATTGCCATGTATGGAGTCAAAGACAGAAGCATATTCTTCTTCGTGAAGAGGTCCTGAGATTGTGAATTAGGGGATTGGAACTTTGGGGGATCATGAATAAAACATACCGATGTAATGAGATTCTCCATAATCATTCCATGTGATGATTTGTACCCACTCTGGTTGAGGGTCAATGGACAAAATTTCTTGCCAGCGGCTAGTTGAAAGTTGTATTAGCTATTGAACAGGGCTGATAGTGTAGCGAGATATCTTACTCGAACCATAAATCATCCCCTCGCCACAACCAATTCTTGTCGTAATTTGGCAAGTTTGTGTAGAACCACTAGAGAACACCGAGGTCAGTGAATGAAAAATCTCGTTATTGATTGTGATTATAATCAGAATACTGACAGGTGAAACAGGCATCATGTATGGCATAGGGACACCTGTTTGGTTTAAGGACACAAAGTAAGAAGCATCAGTATATGCATTCATATCCTCATTACCCCAAGGCCATCTACTCAAAGTTAGTAATAAGTCGATATTACCAAAGGTGTGAACGTACGCATTCCAACTGAACAACCCATCTGCAGTTCCACGGGCAACTGCCGCTTGTGCTCCCAATGAAGACCAGTTTGGCACTAGGAAGCAGCCGGTTTGTGCTTTGATTGTAGTCCAATCGGCAGTATTATCAACACCTTCAAAGGTTGATACGAAAGGCTTCCCAAGATAGTTGTAATAAGCAGAGCTTGATTTGTAAGTATTGAGAAGGCTAATGACGTTGGCTTCTGGCCAAGGAGCAGTGCCACCTAGTGAAGCAACTATTTAGTACACTCATGAACATAGAAATTTGTGTCAGAGGAATCGAACCTGTATAATCGAATGAGATAAACAACTTAAAACCCGTAGTTTGTGCAGCAAGGAAAGCATTCGCCAATGAATTGGGAATCGAGCTATCTCCGTATCCTACATTGAGCGCAAAAGCATCAATATGGGCTTCTTGGGCAAGTTGGATATCTGCTATCCAATTTGTTGTGGTCCATGATGCAACATTCCCAACCTATGGAGCACATTAGTTAGGAGTCAGATTTCAGAAGGGCCAGTTGCACGAACCAAGAAGTGGGCGAAGACATCTTTGGCATGTACATGACATGATGCCAGTAGGATTGTGAAGATTGCACGAAGCAACATAATGTGGTAAGATTTGAAACGCAATGATCGAGTCAATACAGAAGAAAAGCTTTCGCAATTTGAAGCTTCTCAAAGTATAGTTGAAGAGTGACGAGAAACATTGAGACTGAAAACCGGCCTATATATATAAAGAATCCAGCATACTTGGAGATCGAGTCACCAAGCTGAGTTCGCTTGAACATGGGCATTTCTCCTGCCAATCTGGGACTCCTCATTTCGGATGAAATATCCTCGTCGTCGCTGTCAAGGCAGAATCAATATCATGGTGAAATTCTGATCTTTGTTGCAATCAAACTGAGAGCAAGTGCAATGCGCCGCGTTGCCTTATTTATCAATATTGGATTTCTTCCCCTTTGAGGTTTTGAAGAGTGATGGCTTACCATTTGATGTGATGAAGATATATTAAACGAGTGAGGCTGCCTGGGTAAGTGGGGGCCTGGGGGCCTTCCGTTAGACGAGAAGAAGACAAGGGGCTGTGCCACAACACAATCACACCTGGAATAATATTACACCGGCGGTTTAATGACCGCACATCATCTTTTAGCAATTCGGACCTTTTTTTTTTTTCTTGAGGTAATTTAACCCCTTGGGCATGCTCTACCGTACACTAACACAGAACTCCGGGGATAGAATTAAGCCAGACCGGGTACCTGTTCCTGATGACTGCGTTTCTCTAACTATCATGATAAAAGAGTTTTCGGTGCCCCAAAGGGTCTTTTGTCAAGGTTGCAACGCTCGAGTATACCGTCGCCAGATGTATTGTTTTTGCAACTGCGGCTTCTCTTGAAAACCCAGAAATGCCCGCTCTAGGGCTCAAGGCGACAGCCTACATGAGCCTCGGTTCCCAAATTGATCACACCGAGTCACATCTGTCAGGTTTCATGAATCCACACAGGAGGCCCTCAAATTTGAAGTTGTAATGCCTAAACTATCATGGCAGGACATGTACACTCCCGGATACAATCTCTGTCAACTCGGTCTGACTCAATGCAATTGCACAAGCATCATCTGTTTTTGGATGCCAGATTCAATATCACAATATCGTAACACCATACATCTGCCTTCGCGCTGAAATCTCCTTCGGACGTACGGATGAAGTCAACCTTTGATTTACGGGAAGATATCTACCTCGGTGATACTGTTGTCAATTTTTACATAGTAAATGAGTCCAGCTGTTGACTGAAAACTTTCAAGTCAAGTGATGATCGTCACTTTTCTCCTTCCATCATTCATCTATTTGTTGCACGGTTGCGAAGTATCATAGGCTGAACATTTTGATCAAAATAATGGTGTTGTAGAAGGGACAAACTGGCATTGACTCGAACCCTTGAGCCAATTATAGAATTGACTGTGGAGGTGAGCTCTCGATCTGGATATATAGCAAACGAGTTATCTCTTCTTCATCTACAGAATGCTCTGTTCGGGCATATACTCACACTTCCATAATTGCAGACATCTTCATGTCTACCGCGTGTTAAATCTATTATTCAGATGGCCGTTAATTATCCGACTCTAAGCCACCCTCTCCATTCTCCAAATCCTCGACACCATCTTTTCTCTTTCTAAGCTGTTTTTCAATTCTCTATTTTCCATCTCAAGCTGTTCAATTCGTTCTTCCAATCCATCCATCTGTTCCTGGGCGCCAACACTGAATTCTTCAACAATCTTGAAGAAACGCCAAAGACGGAGGATAATCACAAGTGAGGCGACTTCTTCAAGGACACCATGGAGTAGCACATCAACTAGACGGAAAAGGATTTAGTTTGGGAACAGGATAGAGGTGTAATGTAATGGCGAGAGAAATGTATATGGGCTAGAAAGAGATACACAAACAGTACATACCAACGAATCCCGCAACAATCACAGTGGCATCGAAGCAATGAAATTTGCTACGAAAATAGCTGAGTGAATCTTGTTAGTTTAGGTAATAACAGTCATAAAGGAACAATGTAATCCGAGGAAGTGGAATTCAACGTGAAAAAGTAGGATTAGAACGGAAGTAGACGTGAAGACATGTGAGGCAGAAATTCAGCGGCGGGTTGACTGGCACGCCAAGTCTTGTAAAGAGGTTGGATTTCCAAAGCCAACAAGCTCCGATTTCCAAAAAACCTAGTTGAAGATACACACCTCAAACCGAAAGCCCAAATGCTAGCAATCAATTCCACCATGAACAAGCAACTGAATATCAACCCAGCAATTCCCAACCCATCTCTCACTTCATTCCAAATTGGATCCGTCTTGCCTTCTTTATCGTTGTCGCATTGATAGAGATTTATGATTATATCCGAAATAATGCTAATTAAATCGCATGCAACAAGGAGGAGAACGGTGTAGTGTTGAGCGCGAGAGGATAGGAAGCTCTTTGCGGAAGTTTGAGACCTTCGGTAGCTATTTGAGAGCTTCCGAAGAAAAGAAGGGTGAGGTACATGGTGATAGGAGGGTCCAGAGGCAATGGAAATGGGTTGAGAGGAGGCGCGGATTAGAGGAGCATGTTCGGAAATGTCTGAGTTGCGTCGAGACATGTTGTTGGATTTGATCGGTCTTTTTTTATTAGAATCTTAATAGAAGATCAATTGCCCTCCGCTTCCAAAGGCAATGCTATCGTTCTTTCGATGTTTGATAATTCTGGAGAGTTTTTTCACGGAATGTAGCACTTGTCGTTAAAAAAAACTCTGGTTGAAGCAAGAGAAATTACGGTGTACTTGCAAAGGCAGAGTGACTCCAATTCAGGATTGGAATTTCGAATTGGAGGAACATGTGATTGCACAGTGTTGAATCTGAGGTCTGATTGCGGTGTATGCGCAGCTCTTATCGGAAGGTATCCATCCATATGTAGCAGGAAACTCCAGCGGTTGTACCGACACCATCTTTTCTGCAGATTGGATTGAGTGGGGATTGTCAGCTGTAATAGCAAAGGATGGTGGAGCAAAGTATGTTTATTCTCATTGACACAGCTTTCAACGGTCTTATTGATTTCATCAAGGAAAGCATTGCCCGGTAGCTAGAATCCGTCTGAAGTCAATCTTCAAGCGCATTCAAAATGCTAGCTTGGGGCTTGGCATTGCTTATCTGCCTGGCAGACGGCGGTAACCTCAGAGATCATTCCACGAGCGAGTGCAGAAGCCGAATTAGCCGACTCACCTATCCAAGCGCTTGAAAGATGGACGGGTAGCAACAGAGCTGGCTGTAGCCATGCGTGGTGGTAGCCTTGTGGAAGTCTAGACGATTTGTGAATAACCTCAACCAACCTCAACCTCAACCTCAATATATTTATTTTTCATTTGCAACCTTTGCATTCTGTATTCTTTGACCATCTGAAAGTTTCGGTGAGTTATTCTCAAGCTTTGCCATCAGTATAATGATGTCCTTTCATTTCCTTAAGCAGCTCAATGGCTTAATGACATTTACTCTCCAAAATTCGAGAATTGCCTGGTAACAGCTTGAGTTATCATCGGATGGAATGCAAGATCATGCTAGCAGATCAATTCACTTTCAAATCCATTCTGTGATAAGATTGCGCAATTTTCAGTGATTAGTTTACAGTTATTAAAATTCTTGCTAATAAGATTTCTTTCAGAGGCGCAACCTTCTACTTTTCCATCAACATCCTCCCTTCGACCTTGCTCGAGGATCCATCTACTAAAATATTTTACAACATTCTACAAGTGCGGCAGTACGATCTCAAGCAATCAAATCATGGCGGACACCGATCCAAAGCTTCAAGACCAGGTTATGGCTGGCGAGGATGATAATAATGACGAGGTACACTCAAAGGTGGAAGACCTTGCATCGAGAACCATTGTTGACAGTCGGTTTAGGAAGAGATCTCGGCCATGAAGCGCCGTGTTGCAGAGATGGAAGAGGAAGCTGCCAAACTGAGAGAAATGCAGGCAACTCTCGATCAACAAAGCACTGATCTTAGAGAAGACAAGGAGGATATTGATAGTCGCAGTATCTTTGTCGGAAACGTCGATTACTCTGCTTCTCCAGAAGATATCCAAGCTCACTTCCAAAGCTGCGGATCTATTAACCGTGTAACTATCTTGCTTGACAAGTTTACCGGTCATCCCAAGGGGTGCGTTCTACGAAATTTGGCTCCCTAAAACCTCGACGGATTGTGTCGAGTGTCATTGTGATAAACGCTACCTGGCAAGAGAAGGATGCTAATCTAGGTTTATGCAGGTATGCGTATGTAGAGTTTGTTGAGCCAAGTCTTGTTGCACAAGCTTTGGTTCTCAATGAGAGCGTGTTCAAGGGTCGCAACCTCAAGGTAAACACTCTTTCTCATACATTTCTCTGCTATTTAAGCTCATTGTTATTACAGGTCGTCCCCAAGCGTACCAATGTCCCCGGAATGCAACGTGGCCGTGGTGGACGAGGAGGCGGTAGAGGTCGTGGCGGCTTCTTCGGTGGTGGACGTGGTGGCGGTTATTCTCCTCGTGGAGGTTACCGTGGAGGTTACAGAGGCAACCGTGGCAGAGGTTTCACACCATATTAAGCCACGAAAACTTTTGCATGAGTCTTCTTTACTCTAGCACATGATAAGATGGGGAGGGCTACTGAAGTGATAGCATTAAAATTGGGAATTTGGGGGAATTTCATTTCTTGAATTATCAAACATTCGTTCGAGAAGCGATTTATTCATGAAAATACCACGGCGTTTATCTTGAGCATATGGTCTTCTTTAATTTCTCCATTTGGACTTTATTGATCATGAATGAATGGTCCTCAACCATAAATCTGTACAGCAGAATTTGAATGTATACCAAGAATATGACGGCACAGAATTGACGATTAATAGGTAAGTAGCAGTGATATAGTGCTCGCGTGCATTATCTCATATGCAACTGCTTCTTAATCAGAACGAGAGGTTTCATCACAACCCAAGGTGTACTTATGCTGAGCAGGAGGTCCAGGGTCTGCACGAAGGAGTATGACTGCCATGGATCTAAATTCCTTCCCAATAATACTGCTACCAAATCGACTTGTCATCTCATGTTTTTCCTTTCCCAAATTGCCCAATGTGAAAGAGGCTCTTTCCTTTCCTTACCTTACCTTGAAATATCACATTAAGCACTACTTACTCACGTGCCCCAGGGTACATTGTTTTTTTGTACACGATGTACTCAAGGATTTCGTATCCTGGAAGAATCTGACCTGATTTCTGTCATATCAAATAAATCTTCGCAGCCCTCATAAAATCCTTGGTGCAAAAGAAGCAAATTGCCATGATATGCACGAAGACAGAAAGAAAAAAAACGTCCTTGATTCATGAATATTGGGTCTCTTCATTTGACGGTAGAGAACCTGGAAGTCTGGCTAAAAAGGTATGACGTGAAGTATAAAAATAGGTGGATGATTATCAATTTTTGCCTGAGGAATTCTTAACCTTATTAGCGGGGGCATTCTGTGCCGCCTTGACGATTTGATTGACCAAACTCCATTCCTCTTCTCAATCAATACATTGAACCCCCCTTTTATGAATATTCTCTTCATTATCTTTCCTTCATGAATGACGAATCCTTGAATCGATAACGATTATCGCAAAAACCTGTCAGATTCATAATTTGGGTGTAAGGGGGCTTTTGCAGCTCTACTTAACACAGCCCCAAATCGACACAAGCGCAAAGCTTCCACCACGGCCAACCTTGAAACCCAGGGAACGTCAAAAGTGTTCTGCGATACTATTCTACCGTTATCTATCATTGACGCCCTAAGAAACGATCCCGCCATCTCTGGCGAACCTTCACGATGGCTAGCAGTAGCAGAATAGACTCAAGCCTTCCAGCGTATGTTTGGAACTCTGTCATACAAGAAGAAGAATAGAACTGACAAACCTATAGGCAGCCCAACCTGCGATTAACTAGTAGGCTTGTTTGGCAATTGAATGTCAGTCGATATACTAATCATCAACAGTAATTGCTGCCGACGGCTTGTACAAGCGTGATGTTTTTAGTAGAGATACCGATCCCCCCAAGAAGACAACCGTTTTAATCGTGTGACTTAGGATTTCCGGACCCGTTTGCAGTTGCGACACTGAGTGGCGAGCAGACGAAGACGACCGCTGTTATCAAAAGGACTCTAAATCCATACTGGAACGAGATCTTCGACCTGTGAATATGGAATATCCTCTACAGGAAAGACTCTGGGCTGATTTACTTTTAGGCGTGCGAACGAAGATAGTATATTAGCAGTACAGATATTCGACCAAAAGAAATTCAAGAAGAAGGACCAAGGGTTCTTAGGAGTAATAAATGTTCGTGTTGGAGATGTCATCGACTTTTCTTCGCCCCAAGATCGTGAGTCGTGATATTTCTCTTTGTTACCATTCTCGTTTGGGGGCTTATATTTAATCACACAGAAATGCTCACCCGAGATCTGAAAAAATCGACGGATAATCTTGTAGTACATGGAAAACTTATTATAAGTCTTTCCACAAATCTAGATGCCCCTCCAAGAGGAGGCAGCCTCGCTCCGCCTACGAACGGCCATTCAACGTCAAGCAACCGACCTTCAATCCACACTCCAACTGGCTCCGTTTCTGGTTTCTCAAACTCGGCTTCTTCGCCTGCTTCTCATACCCCTCAACCACAAGGAGTCGTTATGGCTAACGGAGCTCTCTCCAATGGACCAACCCCCGGACATGCACCCGCTGCAGGCAGCGGCGGAAGCAACGCACCTACGGCCAGCGCAGGTGCAGGACACCGAAACGGTTTGAGCTCATTCGAGGATGCTCAGGGTAGATTGCCAGCTGGATGGGAAAGGCGGGAAGATAACTTGGGACGAACCTATTATGTCGACCACAACACAAGATCTACAAGTTGGAATAGACCATCTGCATCAGGGACGACCGAGACAAGGCAGGACGAGAGAAATGCTAATACTCAAGTGGAGCGTCAACGACATCAGAACAGAACTCTACCTGAAGATCGCACCGGTGCCAATTCACCAAATTTGGCACAGCAACAAGCTAGCAGTAGTGCTAACACCGCTGCTGCGACTACGATGATGGCTACTGGAGCCACTACCGCAGGAACCGGAGAACTTCCACCACTCTGGGAACAGAGACATACTCCCGAGGGCCGTCCTTATTTCGTGGACCACAATACCCGAACCACAACTTGGGTAGACCCTAGGCGTCAACAATATATCCGCATGTATGGTGGTCAAAATGCAAACAATACCATTCAACAACAACCAGTTTCACAACTTGGTCCTCTGCCAAGTGGCTGGGAAATGAGACTCACAAATACTGCAAGAGTTTACTTTGTGGATCACAACACCAAAACCACTACCTGGGATGACCCTCGACTGCCCTCTTCGCTGGATCAGAACGTACCGCAATACAAGCGTGATTTCAGAAGAAAGCTTATCTACTTTCGTTCACAACCAGCCTTACGCATCCTCTCCGGTCAATGCCATGTTAAGATCCGAAGATCACATATTTTCGAGGATTCTTACGCTGAAATTATGCGTCAATCTGCCACTGATTTGAAGAAACGTCTGATGATTAAATTTGATGGAGAAGATGGTCTCGATTATGGTGGATTGTCGAGAGAATTCTTCTTCCTTCTCTCTCATGAAATGTTCAACCCTTTCTATTGTTTATTCGAATACTCTGCTCACGACAACTATACTCTTCAAATCAACCCCCACTCCGGAATTAACCCAGAACATCTTAACTACTTCAAATTCATTGGTAGAGTGGTTGGTTTGGCCATCTTCCATCGTCGATTCTTGGATGCATTTTTCATTGGTGCCCTGTACAAAATGATGCTTAATAAGGCTGTCTCCCTTCAAGATATGGAGGGAGTTGATGCTGATTTTCATCGAAGTCTTCAATGGATGTTGGATAATCCAATTGAAGGTGTTCTAGACCAGACATTCTCGACAGAAGATGAGAGATTTGGTGTTACAAACGTCGAAGACCTTAAACCGGGCGGAAGAGATATTGAAGTCACAGATGAGAATAAAAAAGAGTATGTTGATTTGATGGTCAAATGGAGGATTCAAAAACGAATTGATGAGCAATTCCAAGCTTTCATCACTGGTTTCCATGAGCTTATTCCAGCCGAGCTTGTTAATGTCTTTGACGAAAGAGAGCTCGAGTTGCTGATTGGTGGTATTGCGGAAATTGATGTTGACGATTGGAAGAAGCACACAGACTATAGAGGATACACAGAATCTGATGAGGTCATTAAGTTTTTCTGGCAAACGATCCGCAGCTGGGATGGAGAACAGAAATCTCGCCTTCTTCAATTTGCCACTGGTACTTCTCGTATTCCCGTCAACGGATTTAAAGATCTTCAAGGTAGTGACGGGCCGAGAAGATTCACAATTGAAAAGCAAGGAGAGCCGAACAATTTACCAAAATCTCACACCTGGTAAGCTACCTCTGAAATTCTAGATATTGCACATACTAACAGCATGAATTAGTTTCAACCGACTGGATCTTCCACCATACAAGAACCTTGAGCAGTTGCAAACCAAATTGACGATGGCAGTGGAAGAGACGATGGGATTCGGACAGGAGTGATTTATGTTTTGGAAGGGTTTCATTGGTTCTGCATGGTGTTATTTTCTATACAAGCTGAGGGAGGTCCAGGTTTCTCAACTTTATATTACCTGGAATGGATTGGAGGTATGAATTATTATCCGGAATAAATAGCCGTCTCATGGCTCAAGTCTCGTTAGGAAATGCATTGTAACGATTGATACATTAATCGAAAGAAAACAAATCCAGCTCAGAGTATCTGATGACCTTGTATTTAGTGGGTATTGCACTAGAAAGAATGATCATTCGTTACCGCAATGAATTGCCCGTGATGGTTTTTCTTGATGTACCATTTCCAATCAAATATGAAGAGAACATTGAGCAAGATTTAGGGCTTGGGTGTAGCCTCCTGTACAAACTTTTGTATGGTAGGTCGCATTTCCCAAAGAATAGAGGCACAAGGTACAATGACAGCTTACTAGTAACCAATCCAATCAAATCTTGATCACGAGCACTTGTTTCGAGCAATAGATTTCAAAAGCGTACTTTGTTGAGGGCACTCCAAGTCTAAACAATAGGTCTGGCAATCAAAAATATAATGCGAAGCATGCTGTTAAGACTTGGGGAATAAACATATCAGAGAGCAAGTGTTGAAAAATAAACATGGTGGATGTGTAGAACGGGCACGACACAAGCATTAAATCAAAGTTATCGAAACTAGTATTCTTTAGTGGTTGTTTGTGTCTCTAATTGATGTAGATCTCTGGACTTCTGCTTCGGGCCGCTTCTTCACTTAGAGGTTTCTAGCCCGTAATATGCTTAATGCAATGCATATATGCATCTAAACAATTTCGATTTAGTTTTCGAATGTTTATTTGTGTTATTGATTCGACCAACGGTAACGATTACTTCGCATATGTAGTGAGGTACGTTAGAAGTAGAAATATGCATGGCATATTGAACTACGTGGGCAACATGGTTGCTCGGCGACCCCTGAAACATGCAACCTAAAGTCGTCTATGTACACAGAGACTAGACTCTTCTTGGAAATGCACCAATGAAACGCTAGGTACTTTGGGGCAATACCAATGCGGGATATGCTTAAAAAGGGAGCATGGGGAAGCAGTCTGAAGATCATTCTGAAGATTGTGATATATTGGTTGTCTGGGGAGTTTCTTTTGCTTTCGAGTGTATGTTGATTTTGGTTGGAATGTCTTGGTTGGTCACACGGGGGAGTTTGGCTTTTGAACGGTGAAAGGGAAGGAGATGAATTATATATCTATAATGGATGTATGCGTGTTGTTGTGAAATTTCTTCTTTCTCTCTGCTTTTTTTCCTGTACCGCGTATATTACAACGTTGGACCAATTGATCATTGTGAAGTTATACAAAAAACGCGTACTACATTACTCTCGCATATAGTACCTGTCTAATACTCGCACTTACTTTCATACTCGTACATCTCATTATCCCTACAACCTCGAACTCAACTTTAAAAATGCACTTCTCAAAAGCAACTCTTCCTTTCGCGGCCTTGGTTTCCTATGCTGCTGCTACGACTACAGTAGCGGCTACAGTTGGTTTCTCTGCTTCTTGCGCGGGACAGAATGTTCTCGATGCATGTGTGAGTTCGACAACGGCGATTGCCCAGGCGTGCCAATCTACCGATTATCTTTGTTTGTGCACGAGTTGGAATTCAGTCTTGACGTATGTTTCCCCCTTTTCCACTCTCTCCCCCAACTTTTTTTCCTTCTTTCTTTGCAATGTGATTGACCCGGACCCTAACTAATCAATCTATCTAATAGTTGCTATAATGTATGTCCCAACGATACAGGCTACACAGGGGTTCTCGCCAATAAACAAGCCTATTGTAACGATGCCTTGGCCTACGCATCAACTACTACATCCTCTGCGATCTCAAAAGATTGGTCTACGACTTCCACTGCAAGTGACGCGACAGCGACGGCAACGGGAGCAGGAAGTGGAAGTGGAACAACTACTGCGAAGGCGCAGACAACTGGAGGGAGCTCATCAAGTAACACGGCAAGTGCAGCAGAGTCGACGAGTAGCCAGAGTAGTGGCGCTGGGGAGAGGGTTGTGGGAGTTAACGGAATGATGGGGGTTCTTGGGGTATGGCTGCTGTGGGTGCTGCGTTTTTTTAGGAGATGTTGAGAGAGAGTAGGGAAAGGGTTGTGTGGTTAATGGGGTATGAAGGGGTGAGTATACTTGATGTGAGGGATGTTGGGTATGAGTTAATTTTGCGAATGAGACATGCTATAATTGATTGATTAATATCTATTGAATAATGAGCTGATGGAATGAATGATAAAGATTTTTTAGGCCAAGTGGTATATAGTAGTATTGTTAACTAATTTAATCATTTTCATGAACTCGGAGCATGGAGTTGACTTTTCTGAATTTAAATCACAGAGTTCCTAAGGTTAGGACAGTTCTGTATATTCTATTGGGTCGTCAAAGCAAGGACTATGCTACGTGGTCATGATATGTGCATGATGGAATAGATGAAGAAGTATAGATAAGTACTGCCTTCTAATGTATGTACAAACACCCAATCGGTTCTCAGAAATATCCACAGGGAAACAAACAACAACGACAACAAAAATCACCCCTCAACCATTGCTCAAAAGTCCATCCATCATTCTTTGACCAACACCCTCTAAATACTCCTGACTTCCACTACTCAGAATGTTCATCTGAAATAATTTATCCAGTGCAGTATCCGGCCTTAGTGGGCTCGTCGCCATTGTTGTTTCCAATGAACATTTGGCATGCATGGGCAGTATCGTAACAGACATTCTTCAACGTGGCCGTGTCTCCGTAATTGGAATTGATACCGGCAAGTATACCGCCGTTGACAGCAGTGGTGCCCTCAATGTAGACGTTGCGTTTACATTGGGATGAACACTGATGAGAAGGTTAGTTATGCATTTGTGAAAGAAGCGAGAAGAGATAAGTAAGAGAAGAAAGAGAAGATCATAAATAGAAAGAAAAACTCACGTTTCCGCAACTTCGGTACAACTTTCCATAATCCTCAACGTAAAAGTTGATGATGTTAACAGTACCACATCCGTTATGTTGGACGACTTTGTCGCTAGCGTGATATGCTCCGCCTCCTATAATCCATGATTGATCACCAGCCTTGTCACTCTTGATGGAAATGGCATCCTCGCATACGTCTTCGAACCAAACGTATTTGAGAGTACAAGCTCCAGAACAGTGAACACCCTCAGCTTGGTTTTTGCCGATGATGACATTTTGGAGGGTTGCTCCGGCGTGGAGGAGAAAGACGGCGTCAGAATCGCCTGATTAGGAGTGTTAGTCTCATTTTTGGAGGGTTTGAATGTATTAGAGTAGTTGTGTTACTTACCTCCTTCAGTTTGTCCGGTGCAAGCACCGGATCCACGATCATATCTTGCCCAGCCACCGTCGAAGGTGGTTCCAGCAGCAACTTCGATGACTTTACTGTTAGTCTTGGTCGAGGTTGCTGCGGGAACGCCTCCGGTGTAGCCTAGACAGGCGAGGGCAGAGGGGAGGATAGCCATGAGGCTCGCAAGCTTGAGCGTGGCAACCATAGTGAATGATTGGAGTCGATGCTGAGTGTAGATGAATCTGATGCTTTGATGCTTGCCAGAGGATGAAGATGATGGTCACTCAGTATGGCATCATGGCTCTTATATAGTCACAAATCTGTGGAGTATTCGGGGTTCCTGCACCTCACTCGAGGATAAATTTCTTCGCGCCGATGAATCTGTATAGATCCGTAAAATAGTCCGGAGAGTGAATACTCTTCTTGGAACGAAACACTAAATCTTTGATTGGCATATTCCAGGGAGGCTGCAGCTAAATTCTTGTTTTCTTTCAATGGTGGAGGAGGCAAGGAAACAATTTCTGAATACGAACGGAAGAACTCCTCCTGCTTCTTAACCAAGCTGGTCAAATCCATAACACGAGATCATTTTGAGTGCTATCATAGCAAGATAATGTTGACAGCTAGCAAAATGATCATGGTAACAGAACAACCCTCCAGGGTTTGTTGTGCTAGTATCATATACATGCACTTTCGGGATGGATACTACTGAGTACCGACCTGAAAGTGAAAGCAATTGGAGCGATTAAATCGAGCCTGGAATCTTTGCCTAGACATTGCCCCGTGGTTTCTCCAGAGCTGTGCTACATCGTCATGTGCATATGGTACGTGGTGATTGGAAGCTTGGCGGCTATAGAAGCTTCATTATTTTTCCGACGTCGGCTTGGCGCTTACACCGTTGCATGGCAGTGGATCCATCCACCCAGATGAAACCATTGTTGGGGGTATCGTGAAATTAGGAAGACATGACTCGCTAGCGACAGGTGTGGTTAAAAGAAACTTCGCAAATTAACCGCCAAGCAGCCGCCAAGCGCCAAGGAAGCTGGTCCCGAAAAGCTCATGAACCTGGTGGACGGATTGTATTTCTGCGTTGTGATTGTCTTTATATTGTTGCATTCTCCTCACCAATGTCGGGACGAGACACCGTCCGAAGATTAGACGCGACTTCTATCTATGGTAAGTGGGAACTAGTAGCGAAAACCTGAACAAAGACTCCTGATTGTATAGAGGTATGACTTTTTGTTCCACTTCTTCTATACGTTTTGGCGGCCGATATTTCGCCTAGGTCCTCTAGATTCGACGATGTAGGATGACATTTGGGACGTATGGGATGACCGTGTTTGAACATCTGGGCATGGGTATAATTATGCTAAAACAGATATCTAGCTATCTAGCTATGGGTATCGACTGTGGGCTCCTTCATCCTTCCTTTCTTTGTTGTAAACAACTACAATCTGGTAAAGATACTGTATCCGTGACCTCTCTTTGACTGAACTGATTGATAAAAACTTTGTAATTACCAATCCAACTCTGTCAACTCAAGAGTCCTCGACCTCGAGACTTTACTTCTCGGACACGGCATCTCTACCTTCTCATACTCTTTTACGAAAAGTCCAGATTCTTTCAGGATGTCTTCCCACAATACGAAATACATCCAGCTATTCTCAAATAGAGGCTCCGCCAAATGATCCGCATATACAATCCGTCCCATATTCTTACCGTGTCCAACCATACCGACTCCATCGGCCTCCTTTCCAGTGTCTTCCAACCCGCGCGAGCCCCAGGTCCACGCTTCTTGTCTGCGACCGTTATCAGTAACGATCTTCTTGACTCTGCATTTTGCGCAGATAGTCAGATCGACATCGTTTCTTCGATGCTGATAAGGTTCCCCGCCGTAGCTCAGGGCCTTTATTTGCGGGATAAAGCTTTCAGGATCACCGATGAAAGAATAATCCGAGCGACGTTTCTTGACTCCCTGAACAAGAGCTCTGGCAAGAAGATCGGTGATATATTCATGAGGCAGCAGTTTAGTCGATGAGGGGTTCTCAACGTGGTCCCAGAATTCCTTCTCCATTGCACACTCATCCCAACTTGTAGGTGGCAGAACTCTGTAGCATCCGCCGCACCATTGTGCGCCGCCGCTCCAGAAGAAGCTCTCGTTCCACAGCAAGTCCGCGAGTGTCGGATACCATTTCACTTCACTATCATCAAGTGGCAGATAGTCAAAGCAGCGCTTGTCCATATCCAATATATAGTTTCCGCACGCCGATACTTGCAGGCTTAGAGGCAAGGACAGCCGAGCCGCATAGCAGGTATCGGGATTTGAAGGATGACAACTACCATGGATGTATTTGTCAACGTCGGAATACTTCTTGAACACTCTTCGGAAGTGAGAACTACTTAGCGAGAAGCAAACTTTGGAAACGAGATCAAGCTCGCTCATGACCTGCAAGATGATATCGACTGGACAGTTTTCAAAGGCACCAACTATATCGCTTTTTTGAGTTAGCCAACTTTGCACATAGCCGAGGGAACTCAGGGGAGAATAGGTTGCAGGTGCAAGGCATAGAGAGGTAACTTACGCGCTGTCCTTTACAAGTGGTGATACAATGGTATCCTCCACATCCACATCGTTGATGTCTTCATGTGGCTGCATTTGGAGCTTTTGCACGCATTGCGCGACAGAACTTGGAGAAGACATGGCTATGAGTATGTGGCTAGATATACCTAGAATACTAGTCAATAGATATAAGTTCAACTGTCATAAGATAGGGCTGTGCTCTGGTTTGAACTCTCTCCTTGATTGAATACATGTTGAATGAATAGGTAGCCTCAATGCCGGATAACTACTGGCCATGATAACATCAAGAGAATATCCAGGACTTGGTGGTGAATATCTTCGAATTGAGACGGAACTTACGGAAATGAATGTAATTAAAGATATTACTAGTAAATAAGTCGAACTACTATGTCCGAGTGTCAAATTATTAGATAGAAACAAATGTGAATTGACCTTCTTATTAATCTATTCAGTGTCCTTGAAAACTGAAAGATAGATGTGAAGAATATCTTCGAGTGTCAAGGTAGTGAATGATAGGTATTTAGTATTTGATAGATTAACAAGATGTAAGTCTATTCTTTTTATGTTGCCAGCTGTTTGTAGAATGTGAAACGTATACTAGGAATCCAAATCTTAAAAGGCACGGGTGTGTCTACGGTTTATATATGAATGATAAGCAGTGTACAAAGTCGGTGACTTAGTGAATTCCATTAAGGATTGGACTAAAAGGGGCTTAGTCGACAGTATGAACAGGAAGATATTCGTCATAATAGACTATATCGCCGTAGATTCCAAACGATGAGTGTCAAGCTCTCATCTTGTGTGACTAGAAAGTCCTAGTATCAGGATTTACGTTTTCTTTTCTCGGTAGCGCTTGCCCTAAGAGTTGGACCAAGAGTCACTACCAGATAGGTCTTTATTTTGGAAGGCGTAAGTATCTAGTAACGGTTTCTAACAAATCTTAAAGGTATCCTGAGCAGATAGCCTGAGCTATTGCTGATGGCATATGGAGCTTGCTGATCTCAGTCTTCGCTAAGTTTAGGATGTAAAATTCTTCTCGAGATCGTGCCGAAAAGGGGTTATAAAATTAAACCTCTAAAATGACTTTAGGCCAGAGGACAAGACTTGAAGGCCCAGCTAACATTAGTTAATTCCCTAAAGCTTCTCTATAGTCAAAACATGTTTTCATCTGATTTACTACATTTAAGTTTTTGATTCAGTGGCACCGGAAAATAAATTCTAATAGCTCTAGCATCATGTCGTGCAGCTTGCCTGATCACTTTTCGAAGAGTCTTCGAACTATTAATCTCATTCGTCCGGTTCTCTAAACCTTGCGTCAAGTTTGAGATGGAATTCTCTTACCAACCATTGATCACCAACATGAGTCTTATGTAATAAAGCTACAAACTAGTCAATAATAATAGCCTTTCCAAGTTACCAATATATCGCCGCAATCTGCATTGGCAGCCTTCAAGGCTCTTTAAGCTTCATACGCGCTATCAGATGTAGTTTCTTCAATGAGTAAACCAAGTCAGCCAAGTTATGGCTCATGGACCATGTGTTGCACAGCATGCCACGCTAATGCAAAAAGCCCTATTCATATGCTGAGCCTCATTTACAATCAATGTTTAGAGAATAACGAACACACAATGAACAAGACTGTACTGTATCAAAACCAGGGGCTAGCGAATTAGAAATCAGTAAAGTGTTTGTATCATCTCGAGACCGCTTCCAACTTCTTTTGAAATGAAAACTCGACTACAGGCACCGTTAAAATTCTGGGTATAAGTTTAGTGATATGTCAGAAATGCAAATTGGCCGATTAACGTTAGATCAAATGTCAGCGTATCATAGGTCGACGCTTGGCCTTTCCTACTACTTCTAGCTTGGTTGTTCTTTCCATTTATACCACTTTAAGTTTGGTCGTTCTTTCCATTCATAGATACAGATTTTGATAGAGAACCAGTTCCACGCCCTCCACAATACGTCATCATGGATCGAAACGTCTTTGATTTGAGCGCTGCATTGATTTTATGAAAAAGAAGAGTCTCATTATGACTCATTGATGAGCCTTGCAACGCTTCCCATGAGAGGCAATCCTGCTTGAAATGCTCACTCTAGGGAGATTGCCAAGAGTTTCTCGCAATAGAATCGTAGCGTTCGAAGTAAATTGAGTTGAATTCGGTGGTGGTTGGTGTGAGTATTTAAAGTTGTTAATCGTTTCGTTTTGACTCTCGCAGGTCCAAAAACTCACTAGCCGATTGCGTAATTCATCAAAACCGTTGGTAGTGCGAAGAACGTAAGCTAGAACGAGCTAGTCAATACAGTTGATCACTGCTTCGGTGAAGTAAATTGTGGCCTTTGAAAAGCCACGATTCGAATGAAGATCCTACAAAAATCGACACTGAATGAATATACGTTGCCCTCTGAAGTGTTACACGTCATTTTGCCTGGTATCTCGGAAAATCAAGTTCCGTCTTGCGCTCAAACTTACTTCTACAATTTAGAGACACTATGCAATTCTTGATAGCTGTTGGCTACTTAGGTACAGATACTGGTAGTTCCACAATAATAGCAAAGTAGCATCTCATGAACCAGAACCCTTGTAAAACTTTATAAACAGGTTCGACAGGACCAGACTAAAGTGCAGAGTTCCATGACGCTGCCTTCATGCGGATGGTACTGGGTCTAGACCAGGAATCTGAACACCTTTATACCCCTGTACCCCAGTACAGATATGCAACACAAGACAATAAAGCTAGATTTGACTTTATACTAGTCTTCACACCCTGGTACAGATATGCAACAAAACTTATAGGTATCGAGTCCTCTTTATCCGGTTCGACAAAAACTTTCTTGATTGTGGGATCATGGCCAATCAAACTTCGACAGACCGATTGCGTTATGGGCCTTTGAGCATGATCGACACTCACCAGCCTCCCATTTTCAAAATAAATATGTGTGTCTACCTCTAATTCGGAGGATACTGACTACATCCAGCGCAACATTCGAGTGTTTTGTCCACCTGCCTAGATAGGTATGCTTAATCAGAACCAAAAGTTTGTGCTTCGGAAAAAATGGGTGAGCCGTGAAAGATTCTGCAAGAAATAGAACTGTCATTTAATGCTCAGCAATGAATATACGGATCATATTATTTAACCAAATCTAATGGAAATAACTTGCTGCAAAACATCAAGAAGACCATGGCATAGTGTATCTTCAGAGGGTTGACGTTGCGATATTCTCCGAATGTCGGCAGTTCGGCGGCAGTTTATATGTGAGTTATGCATGATTAATAATCAGTCGATCATTGTCAACGTCCAACGTCGATTACATGAAGGAAAATACAGCATCACATCCAAACATCTGAATTTCAGCTTCGAAGGAGCAGTCTTTTCATCACAATAGTCGCTCATAACAAGCTTGACCCAATGGCAGCCCCTAGTGAGACCTACACTCCGGCATTTCCTCCAAAAACCAAGCCTCACATTTCAACCGGCATCCCCTTTCCTGAAGCATGTGTCCATCACATCAAAGACACATTCCATGCCTCAAAGATCTACATAATTGTATCGAACTCTATTAGCAAGACTTCCAATTTTAGCTCTCTTCAAGAACATCTTGGTGATCTGGTTGTGGGCGTGAGATATGGAATCAAGCCGCACACACCATGGGATGATGTTTTGGAAATCGTACAAGACATGCGAGAGAAAGAAGCAGATATCATTGTTACACTTGGAGCTGGATCACTTACTGATGGAGCAAAACTCATCTCATTCGTATGTTAAAATCGTTCATATAATCGGAATGCTTTCCAGCTTAACGTTAGAACCCAAAATTCCGGGTAGCCTTAGACTTCTGGCCTGCGGTTATATGCGTACTAGATCTACCACCCCATACTATTATACCCCCTAGTTTTGATAAAAACCCTTGCGGGATTTCCTAACACGGAACTAGGCATTAGCAAACAATGTATCCACTACCGATGAACTCTACTCTCTCTCGGCAGAGGCCAAAACCTCGGATCTAAAGCCATGCCAAGTCCCTATAATCAATATTCCAACATCCCTTTCTGGTGGGGAGTACTCGCCCTTTGCTGGTGCGACCAATACTTCGACGCATCAAAAGGTTTCCTTTAGTCACCCATCGATGGGCGCATCTCTTATCATTCTATCTCCTTCCCTGTGTATTTCTACTCCTCAACATATCTGGCTTAGCACTGGTCTTCGAGCCGTAGATCATTGTGTCGAAGGACTATGCTCGCTTGATAAAAATGTTTGCGCCGGAAGCGATGAGGAGTTTTCGAATGGATTGAGATTGCTTGTACCAAATTTATTGATCACTAAGAAAGATCCGACAAACGAGGACGCGAGATTAAAGGAAATGTGGGGGGTGGTGGAAGCAATGAAAGGAATTGGCAGAGGTATCCCGATGGGCGGGAGCCACGGAATTGGGCATCAGTTGGGACCACTAGGTGTTGGCCATGGCGAGACGAGCTGTATCATGTTACCACATGTATTGAAATATAATGCAAAACATAGTAGCAATGACGAGAAAGTTGTTGAAGGACAAAGAAAAGTACTAGACATTTTGTGGGAGGAAGCTACTGTCAAGGCTGTGCTCAAGAGAAGCGGATTGGAAAGGGAAACTTCCGATGCAGGTGATGTGGTTGGTGCTATCGTGCGCGAACTTGGCATGCCGAGAACACTGAAGGATGTAGGCGTAAAGAAGGAGCAATTAGATGCGCTAGCGGATAATTGTTTGAAAGATAGGTGGTTACCTACAAATGCTGTACCTCTGACTAGTAAAGAGCAAGTGCTTGAGGTGCTGGAAATGGCTGCCGGTTCATAGTATGATCATTCTGAGGGGTCGTTGAACTCATGATTTGAAGATATTTATCGATGTTGTTCTTAGCGACTTCATCTTTTTGTTGCACAAATATTCTGCAGCATATCACAATTGATCTTAGTCCTTGCCCACCGATCACCTCCAGCAGCACGAAAGTGTTCAAGTAAAATGACATGGAATAGTTTGCAAGACAATTAGAAATTCCAGAGAAAATAAAACGCAAAAATATATATTGTACAGTGGTCAAGCTGTGTGTTTGGAAGGGAATGTGTTCTTACCAAGTTCTGTCCTCTCGTCGCGCTACCACCATAATTTGTAATTGTCCTGGTTCCCTGGTACAAGCCAGGTAGTGGGTCCCATTGTTGATTTTGATGTTGATATCGTTACTGCAGAGCAGATTAAATTCAATTGCTTATAGTCACACTCCGAGGAGGTCGGACTTGTCGATCCATAAAATCCCACCCTGAGAGACTATTAGCATGAGAATCTTAGAAGTGAGAGTCGAGGCATATAACAGCTTGACCACCGAATATGTTTGGCTTTGTTGTTCTAGGATCAAGATATCTTCAGTTATGTGGTACCGTTGACGAAAGAGGAGTGAATCATGATGAGTTGATGAAGTACGCGTAACACGTGATGGCAATCGGAATGAATTGTTTGGCTATTCCTGGAAACCGTAAATCAGCACCTGTGCGTTTGTGATGTAATGAAAATGTGTGTACGGTACTTTCATGATGATTCTTTTCTATGTCATTAAGGATTCCAATTAGGATCTTTATATATGTGGATGCGTTGCCGTACATCAAATGGTATCATTTCTGATGCTTCTGACGCAGCCATGTTATTCTAGATCCTGCTAGTCAGCCTCAGTTATTCAAGATACTGGATTTATTTATTCTTGTTATTCTACTAAAGTCTATCTCAATCTCTGAAGGACAAGAAATGTGTTCAAGCGATTCCTTCAGTTCGATCCAAGTCTAGATTTGTCCTTTCCAAGCATCATCACATGTTCGACAAAACTAGGGGAAAATAGCTACCTTTCTCTGGAAAACCACAATATTAATCTGTAGAGGCTTTTAAGGTTGGACCTAGATCTATTGTGTCTTATATCTGTTATTGAATATCAGTACAATGGACAACATACTGGAGAGTTATCAATTCTTAGTCACTCAGCTTGACATTGAGCCTACATCACCAAATCCACCTTTGACCGTGGAAAACAGTAGCCTGGAAGAGAGCTTTGCAGATAAAAGCAACCTTTCGACGGGTCAACCTAATAACGACTCTCCATTATCAGCTTCAAATTCAGCCCATAAGCCTCTTCGGTCTTCTTTATCTGAATTAGAAATCCCTATTCGCAAAATTCAACGACAGCTTGTCCAATCTCGCCCCAAGTCCCAACGCATCAACACAGAGCATCCAGACTTACATACACATGTTAGCTTCACACATAATTCAAGTCTGTCGCCTCAAGAACCTAGTTCTTTTCCGTTGGAGTATCCTCCGTATCCAACGAATGACGTCAATTTCGATGAATGGACTGACTATGCTGCCTATTGTGGCACGGCGCCAGAACCGGAGCTTCTCAATCTTCTGTCGAATGAAGATAATGCAAGCTTTCACAAAAAGTACTTCACACCTCGATCCGTAGATGATGTTGACAGCGAAAATTCATCCTCTTGTGCCAACAAAGTAACGATGCGGCCTAGAACACACGACTTTGAGATAACAACTGCTCGACCCACAAAGTCAACTTCCCTGATCAAGGAGTCGTGATTGCAAAGACACGAACTCATGAGAATTCTTGCGCCATCTTTACCAACTGAAAGCCCCGGACTGGAGGTCCAGGGAATAATTATGATATATGGAGAATGATCAGCTATGTTGCTTTCCCAAAACAGTCTATTCACTACATCTCTTCGCTAAATTTTTGCTTCCAAATTTTCTTGGGAAGCGGAACGAAAGCGCAAAGTGTCTCCGTAAACGGTATGCACCAATATATATTTCTGCCCAAGATTTCCCTTTCTACGACTAATGGATTGAATGACAGTGAGTAAAAGCGTAGTCTCACATATTTCTTTCCATGTCAAATGATAGAGCTCAAGGGGTGCGCATCTGGTAATTGCCTTGAACGGTAGTTTAAGGGAGAATCAATCTACTGATTTCAATCTGGGCAGGCTGAAATATGAATGTTAGTAGTGATCTCAGCCTTGTCTATTTTCCAGAAGGCTACCGAGGTATACCTCACTCTTGTGATTGACGATGTTATGAATATTCACTTCAAAGGCTGCCATTTCTTCCATGATTGAATTTTAAGGAGTTCTGATCTTCCTTCCAGATTTAATTCTTCTACACTAATCTCCCAAAATATAATCTCAACCGCAAGAAATTTTAACTTGCCCACAAAAAGAACATGTTTCTCGATTCAACTGGCGTGCCCACCAAGTTCCAATATCCTGCGTATTACATTTACAACTCGCACCAGCTTCCACAGCTTATCATAACTCACACGTTGCAATGTTTCATTTAAGATATGTGCAGTGTATCCTACCACTTTCCAAGTCTTTGCTAATGAGAAATTTTTCTCTTGCAGAACCCACCAAAGCATTCACTTATAATCACAGTCTCTTCTCTTCCATTTCAACCGATAGTGAAAGGTGAACGAAGACAACGAAGACAACGAATCAACAAACAGAAGCAAAAAAATGGCGACAACAAAAGATCGAGGTGTCATCTACGTTGATTAAGTTTATGGCAGAGGTCACTCACAAGGATATTGATGGCATGTCTATGCTTTACCTCGAAGCGAGAATACACTTTTGTGAAAGGGGCGGCAGAACTTCGGGAACAGCCATCAACAATGTCAATCTGCTGTGGAAACCCTAAAAGTCAACGAAGGATGCTGAGGAAGACCATTCCACTGTAGTTGGGGTAATTATACAATATTTATGATGTTATCATCATACCACAGGTGTTTCAATTGTGGTGAGTCTCAAAGCCAAATCCTGACACTAGAGCCACAGATGCTATACAGGATGACAAATGCAATGTCTATCATTAAGGTAGAGTGAGCAATTCATTCTTTTATGGGACTAAATTAAACCGATATTAAGAATGACATTATAGAAAGCGCAGTCTTTTTCGAAAACAGAAACTAGGAACGATAGAACGCACTCCAGAGATACTGGCAGATAGCTACGAAAGAGGCGCGACAATGGAGTATTTGCATACAGATCAGGAAGACGAGATCAATTTGAAAGCATCAATAATGGTACATTTTGTGGAAGGGAATAAATCTCCTGGAAAGTAACGGATCGAAGCATTTCTCGGGACTCGAAGGGCATGGGGAGTCGTAACCGTCGACAAGCTCAGAACCCCACAGAAACTGCTCAACCACTTTGGCAGGTAGAAGAAGGCACTGAATTCAACTCGCAAATATTATCTTACAGTGTTTTACAGATTCTAGGAATCAGTTCGCATATTCTTGGTCGCACATCATCTTTAAGCTAGTACCGCAACTTATGCACCATCGAAATTGAGAGACAGAGGTCAATGGATGAGATGAGGAATGTACGTGAGAAAGGTTTAGGTTTCAGGAAGAGTCTCGTATCTTCTTCAGGTAATTGGATAAATACAAATATCTAAAACAGCAATGATACATACTTGGTTTCTATGAGTCTGCGAATAATGGTGTGATAAGAATGTGCCCTCTTGCAGAAATATTCGTGATATGTGCTTCTCCTTAATAGATATTATGCCACACGTCTATATCACTATCGCCTCTCTTTTTACTTTTGTTTCCGGCGTGGAAGCCTCAAAGTAGATTGTAGTACACTTGTCAACGTGCATTTTAATTCGATTAAGGCTGTTGATGTGTCAAAAGTGTGTTTGGGTAATAAGAAGACGAATGGAGGGTCTTCTAGTGTATAAAGGTAACCACTTGAAAGTAGATAGAGTGACTATTATGTTTGTAGATTAACATCATGAGAAAACTTATGTTATCCGTATTAACATAGTAGATGGTCATGTATTTCATTGACAATAGAGCTAAGAGTAACTGTTAAGTGATGTTAATTTGTTTCATTTGTTTATCTCTGCTACTGTTTTTGTACGCGAGTAAATTGTTTATTTTGTTTTCCCAACCACGACGCCTCTTTTGACTCTCATTCGTGCATCATTCCTCACGAACTACGGTACCATCAATTTAGCTGTCAGTAGCTACCATACGTCGAACAATATGTCTACCATGGATGATGAATTAATGTCTCTTGAGGAGCTTGAGAGGTTGATGGATGAGCAAGAAGTGAATAATACCATGGCAACATCAGCTTCAACAACCATTATTCCCAGTACTGTTGCTATCATCGCTACGGCTACCGCATCTAAGAACATCTCGGAAGCTAGCAATGAGAAGAACTCTGGCGCAATCTTATTGAAAGAGCCAGATGCAGATCAACAAACACTACCTCTCTCAACAACCACTCCCGGCGCAAAGATGTCGAAGAGATCTGGTACTCGAGCTAGAAAGCGCAAGGCCAAATCGGCTCAGAAACTATCAAAAATCTCTGTTTACATCACAGAGAACCGAGAAGCTCACCAATGCTACTCCATGGAGAGAGTCCCATGGACTGGTCAGCAAGATAAAGAACACAACGCCTCCTACTTTGACGATGCCAGTCTTGCTAAGCAAGCTGTATCTCTCTCCTTCGACGAGTCTGAAGGCTCCGCCGCTATTTCCTTTCCGGCTACTAGCATGGCAAATTCTCTAAACACCCTTCCTACCAAGCCGGTTATACTATATTCGAGTTCTGAGCAACCAAGTGCCAAGCCTTTTGCTCCTACTACTCTCGGTAGAGGTAAATTCGCTAGTCCGAGCCATTTTTCAGCTCAACTAGCAAATTCTAGCTCGGTTGCTACCCGAGTTCAAGGAGATCCTCGTGAGGTCATCACAATTAGCTTTCAAAATACCGGGGCTTTGTCCTCTGGATTGAAGGATTTGAATGCGGCTAAGGAGGCTAGCGCTGGTGGTATGGTAATCTCAATCAACGGTCCAATTGGGGAGAACCAGGTGGAGATATCTGGGCCTATTGGGTCTAATATTCGTGGTTTTGTTAAAAGAACTTGCCCTCGGCTAAGCGGGAAGCAGATAAAAGCTGCATTTAAGTGAATGGGGGGAGAAATGGGTCGTTAGATGTAAATTAGACAGATAAGAAAGCGCTAAATGACTACTAGTTACTATAACTCAATAAACTGCCGAGAAAACCCTAATTCACCATTCGTAGGTTGTTTTTATTGATGTGAGACAATACAATTTTCTAATTGTTGCAGATCAAATGATGCAATTATAGTAGTTGATATTTTAGGTAAATGTGGACAATTAATTGTTGTGATTATTGCAAACCATATCGTACAATTCTATCTTTTGAATTTTTGAATCGATATGAGATAATATAAATCCTTGATTGTTGCATATCAGGCGATACAATAACATTCATTGATAGTCCAGGTCAGCATAGCACAGTATAACGCTCAGAATGGTCTAAGTCAGATCATGCAATTGTATTCATTGAATAGTTCAATTCATTTGAAAAAATGCACTTAAGTTGATTGGGGGTATCAGACGAGAGTCGCCAAAAATTTGTAAAGGAGAAGAGCAATCGAGGGGCTCGACTGATGCTTGGAACTTCTAAGAACCGGTATTGTTACATGCTTCGTGAAATTAAAAGCACTCAAAAATATGATTGACTTACTTCCGACGACAACTCTAAGATTCGAGAGAAGGAGAAAAAACTAATAGATTTAATTTGTAATGTCAGATAAGACCTCACAAGTGTGTATAAACTTGTTCGGGTGACTGAGCACCAGTCGCTGCATCTTCGGAGAGTATATGCCGAAGCTCTGAGCACCAATAATTAGGTATTTTTACTAGTCTATTCCATGAGACAAGATGATAGCCATCAAATCCGGAAGTCTGAGTCGAGGTTTTGAAACCCCCAAAATTTACCTCTTTGAATGTTATACAAGTCAAAGTACGTGATCTCACAGCATTCTGCGGCTATAACGATGTCATCTCGAGATAGCTAAACCCCAAAGTTACCAAGCCAACTTCAAGCATTTAAAGCATAGTCGTTCAATTTTAACTACCGTGTCCGTTGCCCCAATTTACTTTGAATGTTGAAGGCACTATCGTCCGATATCAGTCACAAATTCGCCAAATCAACTTGGAAGATTGAAATAATGAACACCTGATTGTAGCTCCTAATTCCCTAACTCCGTTTGGATATCCGGAATGCTACCCTACCGTCTGATATCAAAATCAACAAATTTCCAAGTTAAGTTTGGATAATGAAGATCCTACAGCCCAACCTCAGCGATCAACCCTTCAGCTCAACAGGAGTATTGAATGGGTCATCACCCGAAGTTTTAGACTTGTTCATGGTGATCAATCATCAGATTTTCCACATCTACAAGGGAGACCAATATCGAAATCTAAATGAATACCAGATGTTACCTATCCGTATATTTTCCACCCCCATTGACTTATTAATAGATTCTTCGAATCTTGTATTTGACACATAGTGAGGTCAGTATATGGCACTATATTCACTCTGTGACCTCTCACCCGCTCCATATTCTATTGTCGCTTAAATGAAAAACAAATGGTTACCTATCTGCCTCTGTCGTGTGTCCAATTTTTGGGCATCAAGCAAAAGAAGGGTGCATCAAAGATTTAACAACAAACAGCACGAGAGCAAGAAAGGCAGATGACAGATATACATGGAAAGTAGCTTCACAGAAACATCGGTATGAGAAATTCATAAGCACGCCCAGATATGGATATTTCCCGTTGAAGGATGCATGTTACAATATATGGTATTGTGGTAAAACTACACTCTTCTTTTAGGTATCTAGCATAGCCTATGTGGCTTTTATAAAACATAATGGCCCGTTCGTATAATCCCAATCTCACCCACTTTACTCTACTTATCTTTAAATTCCTGTGAAAAGATCTTCTGCCAGAGATCCAACCACTTTTGTTGTTGTGCTGTGAGGGCCTTTCCAGGCGTTTTGAAAGATTTGGTGAGTATATCTCGAAGTCTAGCTCGCATTGTTTTAATAGCAAGCATCGTTTTCCAATCCGACACAGCAAATCGAGCTCTATTACCATCTAATATGAAGACACCGGCGTACATCTATATTAAGATTAATGGGCAGTTTTAACGATGTACTTAGATAGAACTTACATCGCAACGGACATCTCCGCAGAGTAGAGCAATTGAGAATTCTTCTACGGCTGTGGTTTCATGGGCATTGTAAAATCTACTTGAGCTTAGTGGTGGAACCAGATAACATGAGGTGAGGAAACTTACTGCTTGGCCTGCATAATATGATAATACGAGAGCCATTTGAGCTCATGATGACCCTTATTTACAGAGGTAGGATGCAGACTAATGGATTGATTATTGGCGCAGTTGCGGAATCCCTTACCATCCCGGACAAGAAGTTTTGGATAGAAGCTCCAACCAATGACAGAAGAGACAATGATGTCGTTATCACTGTTTGCATTGATTCTGAAGGGCATTTCGAAAAATTGTCGACGGCGGCTCGAGTAACGTGTTCTGTATTGATTAGACTATATTCAGGAAGCAAATACAGTTAACATACCTATTTAAAGCAGTTCTCTCAGCCTCTGTGAGAGGGAGGAACCCAGAGTCCACAAGACACACCACCAATTGTCCTTTCAAGTCCTCAATATTCGATAAACTTTGCTGGCTAAGAAAGTTTTTGCGACAGAATTGATACTCGGAGCCATTGGCCATGCAAACTTTCTTCCAAGCTAGGTAGGCGTTATAAACTGTCAAAAGGTCAGAATCACCTTTTCTGAAGGCAAGCCTGACAGTATCCGCTTGTTGTCGCTGGCCAAAAGGAGCAGAGAATGGTGATTTTGAAGAAAGGATTGCAGCAATTGTTACTGCTGCATCGAGACATTTGAAAACGCTACCAAGGAGCATAAGTTTTCCCAAGAAAACATCGAGTGGCAACCTCGCCAACTGGAGACCCAGCGGCGTTAAATCTTCCCCTGCTGTCAAGGCTCTAACATCTACAAGCGCGTCAATAGCACGTCTGATATTCTTAGCAGACGGGGGATCCAATGCTTCACTCAATGTCTCCTCGATACCACCTAACTTACAAATCTTGACTCTAATGGCAAGATCTTGAAGAGACAAACGGAGGAATTCTGGGGTTTGCTGATCGGCGAGGATTTCGTCGTGTCTATATTTAGTAAAAAGATGAAAGCAGAGTCCCTCTTGTACTCTTCCAGCTCTACCTCTTCTTTGTTTGGCATTTGCCTTGCTAATGAAGGTTTCCAATAGACGAGAGAGCTGTCTCCTCTCATCGAATCTCATCTCGCGATGCTTTCCTGTATCAATTACACAAGTGACATCTGGAATAGTGATACCAGTTTCAGCAATGTTGGTAGCCAGAACGATTTTTCTGATTCCAGGTGGCGGCACAAGGAAAGCAGCTTCTTGATCCTCACTTGCGATGGTGGAGTGTAACGGGTATATATACCAGTCTGACGAGAATGCTGGGTGCCCACAGAGCATATCATTCAAGGTTCGTATCTCAGCAATACCTGGAAGAAATACAAGGATGGCCTTTAAGGAATTAGCATGATTCAAAATGATGCTCAAAGGTCTGAGACTGGATCTGATCTTTGTTGCAATACCAGAATATCCGGTTCGCATCAACTGTTGCAAATTGGAGCATTGGTTTGGACGAAACTTACTTTACTATACGGCGCCAACCGATCGTCAGCAGCGATCTTTGCTATTAATTGCGTTACCAGATCAAATTCTATCCGATACTCATCAAATTGTGCAATAGTATTCCGAGTTTTGTTGCTATATCCTCGTAGAGCCTTCGTACTTTCACTCTTTGTTATCTCGCTAGAAACCTCATCTGCGAGCTCGACATCGTCATCAAGGTCAGTATACTTTTCTTGCAGGCCGTTATCTAAAGAAAATCCTGTGAGCTCAACGGCGTCTTCTAGATATTTAACCTGAACGGGGAATGTACGACCTGGGACGTTCAGGACAGGAGCGCCATCTAGATATTTTGAAAAGCGATCTGCATCGACAGTCGCAGACATTAGAACAACTTTCAGATCCGGTCTCCGCACCAATAATTTTCGAAGGACGATAAGTAAGAAATCACTGTCTATTGTGCGCTCATGAACTTCATCAAGGACGATATGCGTGATATCTCTAAGGTCATTTGAACCCTCGAGCATTCGCATCACGATTCCGGTGGTAGCATATATAAGCCGAGTCTCTTTTGATGTATTAGACTCGAGTCTGATGGCATAGCCTACTAGTGAGCGAGAAGTGCCGAGATCGCTCTTGCGTTCTCCCAACTCTTCACTCACACGGCGAGCAAGAGATATTGCAGAAATACGTCGAGGTTCCGTGCAATAAATTTTGCAAGGCTTTCCTCTAGACAATTGGTGCTCCAGAATAAATGCCGGGACTTGCGTACTCTTTCCACATCCAGTCTCACCACAAACAATAACTACTTGTGAGCGATCTATAGCACCAAGTACCTCATCTTTGAATGACCACATAGGTAGCTGCATTCGTGACTGAAGCATGTGCTGATAACTGTGCGACGAGGATTTTTCGGCCCAAATTCTCTGATATGCCTCGGGAGCAAATCCTGCCTTGGGACCTTTGTCTATGGAAGCCTCCTCGTTACCAGGCGTCCTGACCGCTCCTCGATTTCGGAAAGCGCCATGTATCAAGACACCGTCTTCTAGTTCTTGATCTCGTTTTGCGCGAACTAAGTCACGGAACGTCTTGATAGCATTTCGATCTTCTTCATCAGACTTTTCCTTCTTAATCTCGGCAAATTCGGTCCAAAGATCACGCCATGCTGCTGGTAACCGGAGAGAAACTTTATCTTCTTTCGCTGATGACCCAAAAATAAGAAATAATGCAGTTGTAGCAATATATGCTTCGGATTGGCGGGAGTCGGGGGTGGATATAGAAATCATAGTAAAGCTTTGTAATTTCGGACTTGAGGCATATTCGACCTGTGGGAGGGGTGTAGTTGCAAGCGGATCTTGTGATTTTGACCAGGTGATTCGGAGATTATGGCGATTCGAGTAACTGGTATCAGAAATGAGAGTGTAAACTAACCTCACTGAAGAGTCCCTATTATCCTTTTGTAAGCGCGGTTCATTCCCAGTAAGTTTTGTTCCCATTACCTTGCTCGACAGGCTTCTTCAAGCACCCTAGTTGGGTTGACACCTGACCATTTCCCAAAATCTCGAACAGTAACCTTCGTCCCATCCTTACCATTAATCACCGTACTGCTTTTACCAGTCAGCGGATCTACTTCATTGACAGGTAAGCTGGCAAAAAGATCAGCTAGCGCGGCATCGTCGTCGCTACCAGTTTCTTCCAGCATGGCTTTGCCAATCGCAGCTGCTTCTCTGCTAATTTCGTCATCAGAATCCACTGAAATGTCAGACTCTTGTGCTTCCTTATCTGCAGCCACTTCAGAAGCGCGCAAGATAGCTGCATCTCTCTCTAGCTTTATTCTTTGTTCGTTCCACTGTATTTCTGCAGGATATTTGTCAAACAAGACATCATCCTCTATTTTCTTGAGCTTTCTTGCTAACCTCGCTGACTCTGCATCAACGGGACTTCCATTTTTTTGTGATTTCGGAGCGCCCCTTTTGCCATTTGAACGTGTATCAGCTGTAGACTTCGAATTTTGGAGTATGAACATCTTTTCTTTGGTTTTCAGATATACTGGGAGGAGATCTTCCGGGTCAATGTCGCTGTCATAATCTACTATGGCTACTTTCTTGCTTTCTTGCTTCTTTCCATTTCGAGGGGCAATTCCTCCAATTTGGATTGAAGCAGAATGCCTTGTATCTGATTCGATTCTTGGGGTAGTTGTTCCCGAGGCCATGGGGCTGTCGAACGGTGTACCTGGAAGACAATTTATTAATTTTGGTACACCAAAAAACAATATAGATATACATACCATTTTGTGACTTTTGCGAAGATACTAATCTGCGATGTGAATTCTGGTAATCGGGCAATTCTTCCCTTGAACATTCACGGGAAAGCCACTCCAGCGATTCTTCCATGCCCCAAATTGAATCCTTATTACTACTGCCAATCTTATCCGAAATATCCAAAACGTGCTGAAGAGCCAATAATACTTTATCTGTTACAAACCCAGCCCCGACGAGAGCTTGTTGTAAAGTCCAAAGTCGAATTGCAAGCTCCTCCTCCGATACCTGCTTCAACGAAGTTGTATCTGTTGCTGGACCGGAAAATCGCCCTTCCATTTTGATCAAATCCAAGATCTCTTCCATAAGCTCAGGGGGTAGCCATTTCCTCGTGTTAAGAGTTTCTGATTGGCCTCGTAGAACTCTGCGATCGGTTTCTAATCGGGTCTTTTGACGAAGCGCATCTCTCTTTGACTTCTGCGAATGTTTCTCGACGAGTATTTGAAGCTCAGAATTCTCGAGTTGCTTTTCGAACTCTTCCGGGGTCAAATTAGAGTCCTGATTTGAGGATCCATTCCCTACGACTTCGCCAGCCTTTTCCCCCAGTTGTTGACTCTCAGTTGTATCGATCGCGTCATCTGCTACATCCTTTTCCTTGATAGCTTCGATAGCTTCATTTTTGGGCTTCGAGGCAATCGAGGTGGTAGCAAAACCTCTAGCAGGATTTGTAGCTGGCTTCTTCTTTTTCTTGCCACCAGCCATCTTCTAGATATGTTTCGATAATTGGTGATTAAATTTGTTGGTCCAAGGTAAATGTCAAAGTATCTAAAACAATGCAGCCTCGTAACGCCAAATATTAATGCCAAACGCGGGGCCGATTTATAGTGGGGGTCAGTATTTCCTTACTGTATACTGTTACTCTGTACGGTGGAATTGCTAGGGTCGTCATTTCTCTCCAACTTTTTTTCTCGGAGGCCGCGATAACATTAATCCAGTCAGTCAGTTCACCCCTCAAGAATTGCACACAGATACTACCTAGGTATAAACAATTATACGAGCAGTTCGCAGAGTACACAATTGAGATACTTGAGAAGATACTTGAAAAGACCATTAGGTCATGAGAGATCTTGAAGGTATACAACATGTCTGAGGTGGAGATTAATGGTCATAGTGAGGGGGTGGATTTGGACCTTACTCTTACAAAGGCTGCGCTCACTTCCTCTTCAACCAATCTACGATTGGGACAGTTGAAATTGATCGAGGAAAGACTTTCAAAGAAAGGTACGCAAATGCACAAACTGTCGAACAATACCCTTACTTTTGTTCACCTGCTAACGATGCTTTGTTTTAGAGCTCGATCCAAATCTTTTCCCCGTTCTTCTTCAACTTTTATTTTCCACATATCCATATTACCACGACAGAGATTCGCGACTTGCTGTTCAGCTGTGCATACGGCATATATTTGATTCCGATTGTGCTTTTGAGTTTCTGTCAAGTTTTTTAAAAGCATTAGATGCCGAAACTAAGAAGGGAGGCCTGGCACCAAGCAATGCGTTTGTTTTGGTCGAATATTGTAGTGCGATCTTACAGGTAACCACTAATGAAGCCAGATGGAAGAGCTGGGGTTTAGTCGTGGTTGCTGGTAATGCGCGGGCACTTGAACTATGCATCACATCAAAACATAGGCCGTCTGCACTCAAGACTACATGGCGGGGTTTGCGGAATGTTTTTCAAAGCGCTATATTCGAAACTGCAATCGGGGACAGTGTCCAGAAATTGAGTTCCAAGGAGGCTCAGCCTTCCTCCAAGTATGCTGTAATGCTAGGAGCAATTTCAGGAGTATGCGCCAGGAAACCGCAAGCAAAGGTGGTTCTAGAAAGCAAGAAGTCTTTAATTTACGGCTATTATACGCGCGAGATCATAGCCTCTAGGACTCCACTGCCTTCACATATTGCCAGTGCTTTGAAAGACTTTTTCTTAGACTTTGTCACTCAGGAAGATTTCGAGCGAGAAATTGTACCATCCCTTGAGAAAGCGCTACTAAGGGCTCCTGAGATTGTTTTGAACGACCTTGTCACACCACTCTTCCAGTCTCTACCTAGCTCAGTAGATCTATCAAACGTTCTCCGATCTAAGCTTTTGAAACCTATCTTATCTAACATCAAGTCAACCAATCCCACAATTCGTCAAGGAGCACTTTCTGCATTCAGAGCAATTGTACCCAAATGTCATGATGAAGCTTCTATTGCTCAAGTTTCAGAAGAAATTTTGACACCATTAAAAGGGGGTAAATTATCTGCAGCAGATCAGAGGGCCAACTATGCAGAAATGCTAGCAATATTACCTGTCTCCAAGTCGAATGCTTCGGCAGCTATTGGCCTTGCTACAATCGCAGGAAAGGAAGCCAACGAAGCCGCATTGTTAGCAGAGACTTTTGCTTTGTTACATTACCTGAAGAATAGAGTGCAGAACGAATCTCCTCTGGATAAATCCATCGTTAACACTTTCACCAAAGGTATATCCGATAAAAAGGTCCCCGTAAAAAAATTATGGACGATCCGCCTCGGAGAATTGCTATGGGATACCGAAGAAGCTGAGTTATCTGAATCAAAGGCTTTGGCAGAAGAGACCATCACAGCATTGGTAGATATCTGGCAAGAAGTGACGGCGAATTCCATACCTGCAGCTCAGTCTGGCCTTGTCACTGCAGCTTATGTTCTTGCAGCAATCTCACAGACAAAATTAGGTGTTATTTCAGGTCCAAAAATTGACGCAGCGCTCAAAAAGGCTCAAATCTCGCAGCAATCACTACTCATGGAGCCTAAACCATCGTTCTTACTGAACCCTCGTATCTATAGCAAACTTTCTAGCTACGATGATTTCATGTGGTTTGTCAGAGCCTTGTTTGCCTTTCCGGATCAGCTTGCTTCTTTGGACCCGGCATCCCTATCAGGTATTGGTTGGTCTCAAGCTGTCATATTTTCTATATGTTCTCCTAACGTACATTATGATGTCAGAAGACATGCTTCTCACCTACTTTCCCAGCTATATGTTCGCTTTCCTGGCAATACATCCAAAATGATCACATCTGGTTTGTGGAGATGGTTGCAATCTATTGAGCTTGGAGAAAAAGACAGTGCTCCAATATTGGCAAAAACGGAAAATGAGAATCTGCACTTAGTATTGAAAGCTATCTGTTTGACACCAGCGGAAATCACACGAAGGGGTGGTTCTGTGGATCAGGTGGTAGTTAAGGATCAAATGATATCGCTGTTGATCATCTGTCGACCAGAGCTGCTGCCAAGAGTAAGCTGGATCGAGCTATGCCTGAAGGCTGAGGTTGATCCTGGCAATCTTGCTAGAGAAAGTGGAGATGCTTTGTTAAAGCAAATTCTCGATATTACAAGCATTCAAGATTCTGCCGCAGTACCACGATCCAAGGCTGTTAAAGATGCTGCATATAATGCCGCTGCCGAGCTTGCTTTCGTTGCTCCAGATGTTATGACAGCACGAATTGTTGAACTAGTAGAGCAAGACCTAGACGCGACTCACCTCGCCAATGTCGGTCCAACGGAGGCGGCCATTTTCCGCACTCCAGAAGGAACTGCCTTTGTAGACGTGTTAGCATCTAAAGCTCAAAGTCATACCCCGAACAAGAACACGAAGGATTACGACACTTTGAAATGGGAGGAAGATCTCCGAGCCTCATTAGCGAAGAAAAAGGGCCAGCAGAAGAAGCTCACTCCAGAGGAAACAGCCAAAGTTAAGGCTCAACTATCGAAAGAATCAGAAATCAGACGCCAGATTCAAGCTCTAGAGTCAAGACTTCTTCGTGGAGTTGGAATCATCAAAAGTCTTGCAACGGGTCCTCCAACAGAAGCTTCTCTGTGGATGGGACCTGCCGTGAGAGCTTTGGTAAAGGTAATAAATGCTGGAGCTGGATTGATTACTGGTACTGCTGCTCCAGATGCTTATATCCTTTGTGCCGAAAGAGTTTCTAGTCGCATAGGTATACTTCGTTCATTTATTGGGTTAGCAACGCTCAGAGCTATGAATGTTCCGCAGTTGCCACCGGCCTTGACACAAGAACCACTCGGGGCTCTTATCACACGTGTATTGTACCGCCTAAGATTCTCTGCAGAACAACGCCCATTCGATACAGTCTCACTCATCTATGTTCTCCCTCTCGTCTTCCTAGTACTTCGAGATGGCGGATTTGGAGAAAGCGATGATGCTGATGCCCAACTTGTTCTCGCCTTGGAATTCCTTTCTTTCCATACTGACGCCTGTTCCGACGTTTTGGTACCGCGGGACCAAGTTCTCTCCACTCTTATTTCGTCGATGCAGACCTACAATCAGCATTACAAGGCAATCAAAGATTGCTTGACAGATCTGTGCAGATGTATCGCACCAAACATTACTGATAATGAGATCTCAATTCTTGCACAAGGAGCCATTGTTCCACAAGTTGCTGTACGAACCTCGGTATTACAGTCAATTAGTGCAGAGATTGATATGAGTGAGCTCGATTTTTCCAATGAAATCTGGTTAGCATGCCATGACGATGTAGAAGAGAATGTTGAGATCGGGCGAGAAATCTGGGAGGAAAGTGAATTCAAAATATCTACTGAATCACCATTCCGAATGCTACCATATCTCGAAAGCATGGATAAGCAACTTCGACGAGCTGCAGCTAGATCTATCGCCGAGGCTGTAAAATTACAGCCTTCAACGTTCAAGGATGTGCTTAGCCGTCTGCAATCCTCTTATACGGAGTTGGCAAAGCCTCGAGTTCCTCAGCTTGATGAGTACGGTATGCCCAGGAAGATGGATCTGTCGGACCCATGGGAAGCCCGAAATGGAATTGCACTTGCATTCAGAGAATTGGCTGCAGTTTTTGACGAATCGCTCCTTACTCCATTTCTCAACTTCTTAATTGAAGGACCACTTGGTGACAGAAACTCAATTGTCAGAGAAGAAATGATTGAGTCTGCCACAGCCATTATAGCTATTCATGGGAAGGACAAAGTGGAAGAATTGATGAAAACTTTTGAACGTACACTTGAGACACCGGACAAAGGATCTGAGTTTTCCGATAGAGTAAACGAGGCTGTTATCATCATGTATGGTGCCCTGGCACAACATCTGAAAGCCGGTGATGAACGTGTACCGAAGGTTGTAGACAGGCTTCTAGAGACATTAAGCACCCCATCTGAGACGGTACAATATGCTGTGGCTGAGTGCTTGCCACCACTCGTTCGTGCATCCAAGGAGAACACTTTGGACTACATCCAATTAGTCCTCGACAGACTGTTCAACTCGAAAAAATATGCCGGTCGACGTGGTGCAGCATATGGTCTTGCAGGTCTTGTCAACGGAAAAGGAATCTCCGCTTTACGAGAATACAGAATCATGCTTACACTGAAAGGTGCGATAGACAATAAAAAGGATGTCAATCACCGAGAAGGAGCTCTATTGGCTTATGAGCTTCTTTCCATGATTCTCGGTCGCATATTTGAGCCTTACGTCATTCAAGTTGTGCCTCAACTGCTCTCGAGCTTCGGCGACTCAAGCGCAGATGTTCGTGAAGGTTGTTTGGCAGCAGCAAAAGTGTGCTTTGCAAGCTTGAGCTCTTATGGAGTAAAACAAATTCTGCCAACATTGCTTGATGGTCTTGATGACGACCAATGGCGAAGTAAAAAGGGTGCTTGTGATCTCCTAGGTGCAATGGCGTATCTTGATCCGCAACAACTTGCCCAGAG